AGAGCAGAGGTGAGTATATAATATCATTCAGAGCAGAGGTGAGTATATAATATCATTCACAGCAGAGGTGAGTATATAATAGCATTCAGAGCAGAGGTGAGTATATAATAGCATTTAGAGCAAATCATTCAGATATTACAAACAGTGGTCATCGATTATTTTTATTTATAATATTTTTGATTTTTGTTTTTTTTAAATAATTTTCGCTGGCTTTTATTTTCGAACATTTCTGGAAAATATGAAAATGTCGTCTTCATTATCAAAAATCCTCGAAACAAGAATAAATGTTTTCAAAAGTAACTCTCAGATCATGAAAAATACAAAATATTATTAAATATCAACTATTTACGAATGCGTCGAAAAATAATCGATGACTATTGTTTGTAATATCTGAATGATTTGTTTGGAATTAAATTGATTTGTTTACGAACGATTCGAGTTGAATGTTGTATGGACACTACGTTCTTCGGTATTAGTCGTTTTTAACAACTTTCTCCTTATAGACGCAACAGATAGAAGTAATATTAGTAGCAATCAAAAGCGCTTATTTTTCGCCGCAAGCCTATACCCCCTTTCATTTTTTGCGAACACTCCCTTTAAGTTAAATTTGATATTGTTCTTTGAACGTTATTTGGCTTATTGAGACGAAGAAAATAAAATTTAAGGGGGAAGGGAGGAGAATTGTTAAAAAAAGGAAGTTTAACTTTTTATGAAAATCGGAATTAATATTAACTGCAGTTAACTACTCCTGGGAAGAAGAGAGGTGCCTAAAAGGTAAAATGTAATTTCGCGGCTTTAAGTAAAATATGTGCGAAATCTTTCAGTTTAATGTTGTGCGCGCTCAGTGATCGCTAATCAGTATCCACAGTTCAATGTTCTCCAGGTTATGGTGTACACACTGATCAGTGATCAGTATACGCTGCATTAAATGTATACTCCAGGTCATTGTGAACATTTGTTTTATATGTTTTTGTTACGTGAAAGTGTGGGGGGAGGATGTTTTTAAAAACTTAATTCAACTAGATTTTTAAATTTTACATTCTTCCCTATTCGTAAAAAAAATCTTCAAATAAAATTTAAATATTTGTTTTAATGACTCAATGCATCAATTGTGATCAGTGTTCAGTCGTGAAGGTTTAAAACGGCGACACAGCTAAAACCTAGTCAGTTCCTTGTAAACCTTTCAATATATAGCTTTTGCAGGTTACAAATATCATTATGAAAAAGCCATCCTAAAGGGAGTGACCGCCAATGTATGGTGGTCGAACTGAGATTGCAGTATTGTTGAGAAATTTTTTAGGACTCATTTGAGACATATGAAACGTACTTTGAAGATCTATAATTTCCGAGTTTGATGTTTAAAATCATCAATTTGGGTGGGTACGTTTTGAGAATTGGTTTTTATTAAATTATGAAATGATGACGACAAAAAATGTAGTAAACATTCTATAGTAAACTAATAGGATGTTTAGGAACATATTTCTTAAAAGAAATTTGTCAATAAATCATTGTTAGAATCAATTATTTCGTTTTCATCATTAAATTGAATTTCTTATTCTTTACGAATTTGATCACAGATTTCTACAAATTCTTTAAATAATGTCTTTTCAATAAAAATTTCAGAAAATCTTTGTGAACAATGAGCAAAGAGAATAGAATATATATTAGAGAGGAATTTAAACAATCCCTCGGTATGAATTTTGTCAGTCCCTTTCAGCCTGAAAGGGAGTTCAAAGTGTACAATCCGCGAAATTTTTTGTGAAAATCCGCGAATTATTTTTGTTTTGTTTTACGATGTACACAAAGAGAACATGTTCACAATTAATCTAGGAGATGGGCGCGAAGCGCCCTCTAAGGCTAGAAAGAAGGATTTCTAGTCTATATATAAATTTGGCTTGTCTGTTTGTCTGTTTGTATCCAATAAACGTCAAAACGGCTGAACCGATCGGGCCCAAATTTTTTGTGGGACATCGCGTTTACCCAGGGAAGGTTTATGAATGATAAAAATTTTAAAAAAATGTGTTTTAAAGGTTTTTAATTTTGTAAAAAAAATTAAATTCTTGAAAAACCGCGAATTTTTTTCTTCTTTGTTTTTAAATGTAAACAAAAAGAACATGTTCACAATTTAAATAAAAGATGGGCGCTAAGCGCCCTAAAACCCTAGTTCATATAAATGTTCACAAATTATATGCAGTGCATCACTCTAATACAGTATGATCCCTGAGCTGAAAACTTTAGAATAGTGGATATCAGGATTAATGCTTAATCAACTCTTTTTCTTAATCTCCAGATTAAATATTGCTTGTTCTCCTCATGAACTTAATCTCCAGATTAATTAACAGATCGGGATTAAGGATATCCCATTCTAAAGTTTTCAGCTCTGGACGTATATCTATTCCAATTTCTTTGTTTTATAAAGTTGTTAAATAACTTTAAACGTGAATTAAAATCATTATTTATTAAACATTAAAATGTAAAAATCGACGTTTGTAAAGCGAATACCTACAGGATTGTTAATCTTTTTTGCTGCAGACTCTTGTGTATACTTCAATTAATATCTTGTTTTAAATTATTTTTTTAGGCTCTTAGGGCGCATCTTCTATTTTAATTGTGAACATTTCCTCTTTGTATGTCATTGTAAAACAAAAACAAACAAAAAGTAATAAGAGTTTTACAATAAATATTTTCCTCAAAATTTGGATGATTTTCTTAGATCAATGCAGAACACATACTGGCTGTCCCAAAAAGTAAAACAATTAGAAGACGACTCTAGCAAGGGGATTCTAGGATTAAGCCAGGAAGGGGGAGGGGGGGAATAATATTTTTTTCACTCCTCCCCCCCCCTCCTTGTCAGGGATTTAGAAAATGATGATATCTCCCCCATTGTTACTCAGATATCAAGCTAGGTTGAAGAACCAGTAAAGAAAAAAATTTCAGATTTGAAAATATCAAAATATTTTTTTTCAAATCCTATCACATAGCAAAAAAATTCAACACTTCCAAACTTCCCTTCAAGATTTATGCAATACTTCCTTTGGTCAAAGGCAATTTAGATAGATATTTTGTCTGCAGTTTTGCAATATTTTTTCTTTTCCTTTGAGCTATTACAAATAGCCATAAATTATTTTTACTTCAAGAAAATGGCATCAAAAAGAAAAATGCCGTTAAAAGCTACAAAAAAAGCCATTCCAGACTAAAAGCTTCACGCTCACCCATACGTCTTTAATCGAGAAACTAAAATGTGTAATAAGTTATTAATTTCGACCTTTTCTAAGGTTTTCTTGTCCAAAAAAATGCCCCCCCCCCTAGAAAATTCCAAGCTACCTGCGTGCTAAAACAAAAGTATTATCTTTATATAGCTAGACATTTTTTTATTTAAGTGTTCCACAGGGAAAATGTTTTTAATCCATTCTTATAATAGAATTTAAGTATCTTATTATTCTACATATAGAAGCTTCCTGCAATTTTCGAAGGTTGTTTCCCCCCTTTCCGCCTGCCCCTTAGCTGTCTAATAGCCTTTATACTTGTTAACAAGGCTTGATTTAGAAAAAAATCAAATAATTTTCAAGAAAACATTTCTATAAAATGATGTTCTGCAGAGCCCAAAAGGTCATATTGCACAAATGTTTGAAGTACACCTGTTCCTAAACAACTAATTAGCTTATTATAGAATTTTTGTGACATTTTTTTCGTTGTTCTTCAATAATTTTAAAAAACCGATTCTCGAAACGTAACCACCCATGTTGATGAGTTTGTACGTCGACTTTGCGCTCAAACTCAGTAATTATAGACCTTTAAACGTTTCATATGTCTCAAATGAATTTCTCTACAATACTTCAATCTCAGTTCAACCACCATACTTTGCCGGTCAATCCCTTTATTGTTAACTTGGTATTGACGACTTTTGAGTTCGAATTACAAGTATACAAGTAAACAAAGAGAAACTATTAATGGATAGCTATTCTTTGTTTCCCTGTTTATGTGTCTCCATGATGTTTGAAGGCTTGGTAGAAATTAAAAATTGAAATCAAAATTTGCCTTCATATAATATATATACGACGAAGACTGCATATTCTCTTCTTTTTTGATATTAGTGAACAAACGGGCAAAACAAAAATTCAAAAAAGAAGTTGTTGTGTTAAACTAAAATTACTTCTGTTTCATGGAATACTAGAACATGATTTGTAAGAAATTGCATTTAAAGTTTACTAAAATCAGATTGAAAGGCTATTGGACGAATTTAAAAACTAGTTTTCTAGGATGCTGTTTGAGATAGGGCTACTGGTGCTAACTAGTGTTCTGTACATTTACTATGAAGTCACAAAGCAGTATGGATTTTTCAAGGATCTCGGAGTTCCATTTTTAAAGGTAATAAAATTAAGTATTCATAAATTTTGATCTTAAAGAAAATGGAGTTCAGGATAAATAGAAAAGTTAAAATGTTTGCATCTGACATCATCTATTTATTTATAGGATACTAGGCTTTAAGGGCGCTTCGCGCCCATTTTCTACTTGAACTTTTAATTGTGGCTTAATGTGTAAGCATCTTTTCTTTGTACAATATGAAAGAAATTTTGCGGATTTTATAAAAAATTAAAAATTAACAAATTTTTGAAATTTTGATCATTCATAAACCTTACTTGTGGTCACCTGAGACTCCACAAAAAATTTGGATACGATCGGTTCAGCCGTTTTGACGTTTATTGGATACCAACAAACAAACAGACAATGACAGTATATATATGAAAATAAAAAATACGTTAAAAAATAAATTTTGATCTTGTCAATTCTTTTCAACTGACTTTATTTTTCAGCCCTCCTTTCCTTTTGGGAGTGAAAATGGAAAGAAAATGTTTTTGGGCAAAATTGCTCTTCAAAACACTGATGTTGAGGCGGTTAAAGAGTTTCCAAAGGAGAAAGTATTTGGCTATTTCCTTATAGGTCAGCCAGTTTTTGTCATCAATGATGAAGAACTAGCAAAGAAGGTACTTATCAAAGATTTTGAATACTTCACCGATCGTAGAACTTTTGACACAGCTGATCCTATTGCCAATGCCTTTCTCACAAATCTCACTGGAATGGAGTGGAAGCAAATGAGATCTATGCTCAGTGGAGTATTTACCAGTGGGAAACTCAAACTAATGGCCAAGCATATGGATAAAGTTGGAAAAAACTTTGAAAAATATGTGGCATCAAAAGCCAAAACTGGAGAGGAGATAGATATGAAAGTAGTTGGTGGTCTCATGACTTTAGATTCCATTGCCTCTGCAGGTTTTGGAATTGAGGTTGATTCCTTCAAAGAGCCAGAGAACACTTTTAGAATTATGGCCTTGACACTTGTTGGAGCTCCGGGCTATCGTTCTCCTCTTGACATCATAAAATTTTTTTTTTTTGCAATTTTACCGAAGGTTGGAAAGTTTTTAAAAATCTCTTTTTTGAAACCTCAGGCAGTCAACTTCTTTTCTAATATCCTAAGAAATGCCTACAAAAGAAGAATGGCAACTGGGGAGAAGCGCAATGATATAATAGATGTTATCGTTGAAGAACTCCGATCTACAAAGACAAAGAAGCCACAAACTTTTGAAAGTGATTTTGAGAAAGATGCTGCTCTAGACACATCAGGTCTGAAAGATATAAGAGAAACTGGGTTAGATGAAGAAATACTACTGATATCCAATGCTCTGTTGTTCTTTTTTGCTGGATTTGAAACTACATCTTCTGGAATTTCAATTATTTGTCACAAGCTTGCTCTTTACCCGGAGCTGCAAGACAAGGTATTTCAAGAGATTTCTGAAATTCTTGGGGAAAGTGAAGATGTCAGCTTTGAACAACTTCAGGAAATGAAATATTTAGATATGTTTATATCCGAATGCTTTCGTGTTACAACCTTGTTGTCAGCTCTGGAACGTAAATGTGTCAAAGACTACTTGATCCCAAATACCGATATCATCATACCAAAGGGGCGCTTTGTCAAAATATACACCAATGACATAAGTGTACGCGAGGCCAACTTCAAAAATCCAAATGACTTTGATCCAGAAAACTTTGCTCCTGAGAACAATCCCAATAAGTTTGGAATGATGATTTTTGGCCAAGGTCCACGGAATTGTATTGGAATGCGTTATGCTCTCCTGACGATCAAGATAACAATGGTCTATCTGCTCAGGAATCACAGAGTAGTAAGATCTGGAAAAACTACAGATGTTCTTGAGGTTGACCCAGCTAACTTTAATCTTTTCAAGAACGGAGTTTTCATGNCCCCCCCCCCCCCATCAGCAGGAATAGGGTTAAAAATGTCGATCACAGAGATCTGTGATGTCGATGTTATTACTAAAAGATGCACCTGGTTTCGACATTTTCCAAGATGTTTTATGTATGAACATACTTTTTTTTGGCTCAAATCAGGGGCGTACGAGGGTGGGCCGAGCCCCCCTCTACCCGTGCCCCCTCTGAGGGGGGGGCTCTGTTAATATTGCATCTTCCTTGTGGTTGATGTACAAAATTTCTTGCGGAATCTTGCTGCACAAGCAATTTGAAGGAAGTTTCAAAAATGTTACAGTCTTCAACATTGATATTTGTCTACAGTTTTATAAATAATTTATTCAAATTATCAGCAGAACAGAAAGAAAACCATAAAGTTTAAATATTTATGAGATTGCTTAATGACTTATTAATGGATGGTTAATGATGGATTGATTAATAATTAATGTTTCATTAATGTTTAATTAAGGAATTATTGGTTAAATTATGGCACCGGTTTTCTTTACTACAAAACTAATTATTTTTTACTTTATAGATATTGCAAGAATTCCAGGGTTTCAGGGGGCAAATGACTCATTACAAAACAGACCACTGTCATTTATGTAAAAAGGCAATATTAATATTTAATCATAGTTCTTGTGTTAACAACATTTATTGATTAATTGATTCTAATTTGATCAATTATTTAAATAACTGATTTTAATTTAATCGATTATTTTAGTTTGATTGATTATTTAAATAATGGATTTTTATTTGATTGATTATTTTAAAAAATAATTTTAATTTGATTGCTTAGTTGAATAATGGATTTTAATTTGATTAGTTGAATAATTGATTTTAATTTGATTGATTATTTTAATTACGGATTTTAATTTGATTAGTTAAATAATTGATCTTAATTTGATAAATTATTTGAATAATTGATTTTATTTTGATCAATTCTTTAGAAAATTAATTTTAATTTGATCGTTTGTTAAAATTGTCGATCTTCAGTCTCGTGAAAAGGAATATTGTGTTGTAAGTTCAGAAATTCGAGCAATTCTAATTCTAAATTTCCCAGGCGTACTGTGTAAATTCAATAAATTAATAAGAAATTATATTTTTGCTAAATGTGGAAGTCTGCTGTTTTACTGTCGGTTAATAAAACAAAGGTTTGACGCTGATATGCGTATATAGCGCTAGATTGCGTCAAGGGTTACCATTGAAAATAATAAAAGTAAAGAAATGAAAGATTGCGTAAACTCATCTTATTCTCAACCATATGGTTTACCTTCATTCCTGTACTTATACAGGATACAGGATACAGGATACAGGATACTCCTGAACAAGTTCCTGTGTACGCCCCTGCTATAAATTTATAATCTCTGTTTGTTTTGTCCGAGCAGTATAAACCCCTCGACTTATTTGCCTCAATATTGATTGATTAACCTCGGTAGAACCACGTCACTTAATTTAGAAATTCTTAGTTGAGTGGTTAAATTTCAGGAATAAAATTTAAAATCCTGGCAAAGCTGGGTTCCCATGCTAGTTAAAAATAAAGAAAACTTGAAACTTAAACTAAAATCTCTACATCCATATTTATCTATTGTTTAAACATATGTGACACCATATATGTTAAGTATGGTTTTTATTTATTATACAATGATGAAGCTTAAACTTCCCATCTGCTTCTCTTCTTGTCATAATTACCGTGTATCAAACCTAACACAGCCCGGGGCCCAGGAACAACCCTTAAACACTCTTAGAATCATATCTTTAATTCAAGTTGCTCATGGCCCTGGAACTACCCTCTATCCAGCTTATTCCAGGGTCCTGAAACTACTCTGTATCCAATTTACTCCAAGGTTTTGAAACTACTTTGTATCCTTCTTACTCCAGGACCATGAAACTACTCTGAATTCATCATACTCCAAGGCCTGAAACTATTCTGTGTTTGCCTTACTCCAGGGTCAGGCAACTATAACTCTGTGTCCAATTTACTCCAAGGTTTTGAAACTACTCTGTATTCATCTTACTTCATCAGGACTATGTAACTTTTTGTGTCCATCTTACTCCAGGGCCCTGAAACTACCCTCTATCCAGCTTATTCCAGGGTCCTGAAACTACTCTGCATCCAATTTACTCCAAGGTTTTGAAACTACTTTGTATCCATCTTACTCCATCAGGACTATGTAACTCTTTGTCTCCATCTTACTCCAGTACCCTAAAACTACTCTGTATTCATCTTACTCCAGGACCCTAAAACTACTCTGTATTCATCCTACTCCAGGACCCTAAAACTACTCTGTATTCATCTTACTCCAGGGTCCTGAAACTACCCTGTATTCATCTTACTCCAGGGTCTTGGAACTACTTTGCGTCAAACTTACTTCGAACTCCACGGGTCTTGTATTTTCTCTGTATTCAGTATCTGTATCCCTGGAATTATTTGTATCCATCTGACTCCAGAATCTTGGAACTATTTTGTATCAAACTTATGTGGCGGCTATGAAAGTCGTCTTTCCTAGGAAGAACCTTTCGCGGCAGGGAGAAGAATAGGGGAGTTTTCTCAAACTTACTCCGATTTCCACGGGTTTTTGTATTTTCTCTGTATCCAGCATCTGTATCCCTGGAATTATTTGTATCCATCTGACTCCAGGATCTTGGAACTATTTTGTATCAAACTTACTCCGATTTCCACGGGTTTTGTATTTTCTCTGTATCCAGTATCTGTATTCTGGAATTATTTGTATCCATCTGACTCCAGGATCTTGGAACTATTTTGTATCAAACTTACTCCGATTTCCACGGGTTTTGTATTTTCTCTGTATTCAGTATCTGTATTCTGGAATTATTTGTATCTATCTTACTGGGGTTCTTAACATTACTCTATACAACATAAAATCCGGGGTCCTCAAAAAATAACTTTATCTTACTCCAAAGTCAAAACCTGCTCGGATTTACAATTTATTCAATTTACTCCGGGGTTCGGAGCTGGAACTATTCTTTATTAAAACTTTGGGATCCATGCATACTTGGTTACTCTGGGGCTCTGGAACTTCTTCGTCTTACAACAAAGAAAGGATTGAAAAATCTTCTTTAATCTTTAAATGAGAGCCAATTTGTGTCAAGTTTGTTCTTTAAGCCCATTTTTTTTGCACAAATGTTTTTCCAGAGTCCATTGTGGTTAAAAGGTATGGGATCCAACTAACTGGTCCAGGGCCCTATAGCATGGTTTCTTGCATTATGTAATGATGAAATAAGTATAATTGTTTGTCAGTGTCAAACCACCGCTCGTCAGTGAAACATATGGCTCTACAACGAGACAAAAATATGCGTCCTTAAAGATTGAAACTTTTAAACTTTTACCAGGTACTTTTACCAGGTACTTTTACCAGGTACTTTTACCAGGTACTTTTACCAGGTACTTTTACCAGGTACTTTTACCAGGTACTTTTCAGAAAAAAAAAACATTTTTAAAAAACAGTTTTACAAATTCAATTTTTAGCGTTTAAAATTTTCATTGATAACTGCTGGCAAAAATACAATAAATCTAAATACGAATACTTTATTCAGTTTGTGCGTATTTAAGCCTCAAAAACGTCAAAAAAGGATCAACAATTGTGCCCATTTAGGGTCTACGGCGCCTTCAAAGTAATATTTTTCCACTGGAATTCTACAAATTTCCAAAAGCAACCATGAAAATATAAGAAAACTAAAATCAGAATTTTATCGAACCAAAGTGTGCTAAGAAAGACTTTCGCGAAAACTATTTAGTTCTTTTAAAACTGTTTTGTATTAAATCTTATTAAACAATTTGACATTTATAAATGATCATGTTTCCAATTTTGTTTTTCATTGAAGAATATAATTTATTATATCCTTTCCCTGATTATATACAGCCAACTTTGCAGGAATATTAATTTAAAGAATTGAATTTAGAAAACGTGCTGGGAACTTCAATCTAGAAAATGAAGATTTTAGAAGCTTTATCATTTGGTTTGGTAGTGCTTTCAGGTAAAGGAATTAAGTCTTTGTCACAAACTATGATTTTCTTCTCTCTATATCTTAGAAATCCAATGCCGTATACCTTAGATATTTCAAACTATGAAAAAATTTAAGTTTGACATATCAAAGGTTTACACCATCAGGTGGAACAAATATAGGTATTAGAAAATCAGAGTTTGTTACAAAGACTCAATTCCTTTTTGGGGAATTTAAAATAAATTTTTTCTCGAAAGCTTTGCAATATTTTAATGTTCTTTTCACATGAGGTTAATTTTTGAACAGTAAGAACCAGAAAACTGTGGAATAGGAAGACGACATTGGAAGCAATATTTAAAGTGTATTGATGTTGTTCACAGTGAGTAGTTTTTACTAAAAACAATTGTAAAGTGAAAAGGTCTGAACACAATGCACAGTTGTTGTGTTTAGTGTTCATTTGACTATCTAAAATTGAGTCTGCATAGTCGTCATTATGCAGTTCCAGAGTTTTATGGTTCTCACTGTATTTACAATTGACATATTTTCAAGTTTTCAGAAATCATCTAGATTTTTGTCCTCCTGAAAATTTAAGAATTTTTTTTTATTATTTCAGAAAAAGAATTAATTAAAAAGAATTAGTTAAAAAGAACAAATGTTTTTGCATCATCTTATTGTTTTCTTCAATTTCGAGAGAATTTCTATTTTAAATCTTAATTATTCATATGTTTTTTTACTAATTCATTTGATTGGAATAAATTTAAAAGTTTACCCATAACCTGAAACTCTATTTATCTGAAGGATAAGTTGCATTTTAGGTCGTTGATATCGGATTTAATAGGTTTTCTAAATGATTTTAAAAAGAAATCAACAAGTTAAAAGGTTATACAGGGAACCATCAGTTAATAAAAAAGGGTCATCTCCGAAGTCTCATCCTTTGTGGGTAACTCTATAGAATATCCTTTGTGTTCTCCTTTGGAACAGTTTTTAGTTTATGTCCTTCTTACTTTTCAGTTTAAACTCACAAAATTCTAAACCTCGTTGCATTCAGGATAAACCAAGGTTATATATTAAGGTTAGATACTATTGACGCTCCAATGTACGGGAAATGTCGTCTTCATATCAATGGTCAATCAAAATCCTTTGTTTTTCCGCTTTTTACAGCTGATTTTTAGCAGTGTATTTAACCTTAATAAGCATTTTTAAATAAAAATCTCAAACAACATGATAAAAAGCTATATAACGGGAAAATAATATTGATTAAAATAATATAATATTGATTATTTCAGTGATTCTCTCTGGTGTCGACAGTATTAAAATAGCTCCTCCTAATCCACCACAACACCCCTGCCATAGTATCAGATGCGCCCCTGGCCATTCATGTACTCTGACTCGGCGCCCCTGTCTTCCATTCATGAGGTGTGGAGAAGTTCCCTCCTGTATACCTACATCCAACATTCAGAGAAGAAAAGACGACCCTTCCAGTTTTCAGGCATATTGGCATTCCAAACAAAGCAAAGTGGTCGGCGTTTATAACTATACAAAAAAAGGCGATTTTCTACTTTTTTAAAATTAAAACTATACAAGGAAACAAAGAGAATATGTTAATTCAAGATTCTCTTTGTTTCCATGTTTATGTGTATCAATGCTGTTTGAAAGATTTGTAGAAACCAAAATCTGAATTGAAAGTCGTCTTCATTGAATTAATATTTACGACGACAAATGTTAAAAGAAATCCAAGGCAGAAATCGAAATATCACGGCCACTAGTCTTTTCTGGTAAATCAAAATGCAGAGTTACTTTTTAGAAAAATCGGATTCATTCTTAAAAGTATCATGAGGGCAAATTTTAGAATTAAGTTGATACCATCGAGCTTAATTTCGTTCGATGGGTTGGTCATTCAGAAGAAACGTTTCCTTACAATATATTGAATAACCCCGACGAAACATGTAAAACTTTAGGCTCTTTTTTAGAAATTATATACCACCCCGGACTAACCAGAGTGAGAGGCATTCGGTTTCTTCTATTTGAAATCATACGCGTTTTGATCTATAATTCAACAATCTTTAAACTTACGGACTTTTTTGTTTTATACTTTTCATTCAATATGTTTATGCCGACAAAAGTAGAATAGAAAAAAGGAAAAAAAATCATGTTTATTGGGTCAAATTTTGATTGAAAGTCACAGCTTTCTGGAATATTGACAGAACAGTTAAATCCACGTGACCCAGGACAAACGCTTCATTGTTATCAATTGAATCATGAAGATTGTTCTCTATAATACTGCACTCTCAGTTCAACTACGTTACTTAGCCAGTCTCTCCCGGCATGTTTTATTGATAACGTTGTAAATCGTTATTTCTAATGAAAACTTAAAGTCTAATTAAGCATCAATAATCTTTTTCTTATTCAAATTTAAAATACTAGACTTCCAGGGCGCTTAGCACCAATTTTATATTTTAACTTTTAATTGTTACTGTTTTATCGACTTTTTCGTGGATTTTGACAAATTTGAATGTATTTCAGGCAATTTTTTTTCAATTTTAACCATCCATAAACCTGGGGTCATGTGAGGTCCCACACAAATTTGAGTCCGAACGGTTCAGCCGTATAGACGTTTATCGGTTACAAACAGACAATTGAGTGGTCTATATTTTTTATATGTAGATTGTGAAAAAAACCTCTGTTAGTACTGAGTACTGTTCTTAAGCCTTACAAATTATAATTTATTGTTCTTAAATGCAATGACAAAATTAGACAAATGTTCATACAGCCTCTAATTCTGCAGTCAGGTAATTTTATTGTAAATCACTATATTTTAATGTTACATTAATCTTCCGAGTAATTTACTTTACAATAGGCTAACCCCTGGCGTAAACCAAACAGATTTAATAATTTTCTTGATGCTTGATTCCAATTCAATATGAACAAGTCTGATGTTCGTATAGTATACAATTAAAAACACATTTGTTTTTCTAAAATATTTTTACAAAAATGTCTCATTCCCATGTTTTAGCAGTATAGATAGACCGGAGAAGAACATTAAAGTTCTGGTTAAAGGTCTCTCTACACCAACTATAGTTCAGGTAGTAATAACAATAATAATAATAATAAAAATAATAATAAAAACAATATAACCGTGATAGGGTTAATGTTTAGAAACCATTTGTTGAGAAATCTGGGATGAAACCTATAAACCCAACAACAGTCCTGATAGATAGAGAACAGGTTGCAGTTTATTAGGTTTCGCAGAATTTTTATAAATTAGAGACATCTGATAAGGAAAAAGGGACTGATGGCGGAAATTATTTGTCAACGATTTCCTGTCAACGTTTCTCTAATTCACTTCTGTATGCCGAGTCCATTAGCGCCTGATCCAAACAGGGTTCAGTCATGTGTTTGTTGTATATTCTGAATCAATAGAAATAGTATGGTGGTAACATCTATCTTTCCATTTATCTCATTATCTAATTAGAGACATGAATCCTTTAATCGGCGCTATCAGTAAATGGAAATATTTACTTCTATTGAAACTATAGTGGATAAAGACCGACGCCGGAGATATTCTTATATTTCTAGCTAAAAATTGAGTGCCGGAAAATTCGAGTAACAGAATCCACATTTGCACTGAAACAAAGGTTTAAAGGGAACGGTTATGAATCTGATATGAAAATATGAATGGAGGGAGGGAGGGTGACTAGAAATTATGTATACAGTCCCTTTATGACATTTCAACTGGATTTAAGATTTTTATAGAAATATCACCCCGGACTAACCAGAGTGAGCAGCATTCGGTTTCTTCTATTTGAAATCAAGCGTGTTTTGGTTTATAATTCAACAACCTTTTACCTTACGGATTTTTTTACTTTATACTTTTTCATTCAAAATGCATATGGCGAAAAAAAAATATTTACAAAACCGTGAAATTTACGTGATATACGCAAGATTTTATAATCCAAACCTTTTGGGCATACAAGTTTGATATTGGTTGATCTATAATTTGAATCTTTATTTTTCGATATGTATATATTTTCAATTTGTAGTTCAAAGAACTAATTATTACTCACAAATCATTTTATCTTTGCATAACACTTGAAATTTCAAAACTAAATTTGATCGAACAGAATCAAAATATAAAGCATCAAAAGTTGACGACATCAGGTTGCAAAGATATAATATAATAAAATCTATAACTTATTATTGTTAACAATTAAATTATTAAATAATAGTTTCAAATGTATTTAAAGTTTTATGTTTTAGGCAAGACAAGACCCTCTCGTCTTCCTGTCTACCAAGGAGTTAATTGCTAAAAAGGTTTTCAGAAAAATAAAAATAATAATGAATAAAAGTTGAAAAATAATTATTATTTTATGAAGATGGATTCAGACCGTGATGTTGACCAGAATATGAAACAAGACAGAATTCTATCTCTCTTCCATACTTTAAGGGACTAAATACAAATAAATCTGGAATGATACAATCAGAACAAGAAAACTGTGGAATAGGAAGACGACATTATAACAATACTTAAGTGTACTTAATGATTTTATAAAGCAAGTGTTTTGCTTATGAATTATCAAATCACTTATTCTGTAAAATGTTTACACTGTACAATTGTTATGTCTAATGTGTATTGTCTAAAAGTCGTCTTCCTGTTCTGGAGTTTTCTGGTTCTCACTGGTTTTAATTATCTTTCAAAGTTAAAGCTGAACAATTTTCGTTCGAACAAATAAATTTTTCATTGTCTTTTGTTCACTCACATCAAAAAGATGTCTGAAAGTACAATAGAGATTTTTTTTTGTCGTTGTTAAGCATGCAATATTGTTAGGCTTTTAATTAGCTCCACAATGCTCGCAAATATTTCTCATTGTGGAACACTTTTATTTCCAAATTTAATTGCAATTAACTCAGTTGCAATTAAATGAATCACAATCATTTAGTTGCAATCAAATCAGTTGCAAATTGCAATTAGCAACAATTGGAACCCATACCCCTGTGCAATCATGATACTCAATTGCAATCAAAATCACTTGGAACCAAAGCTTGGTTGCATTCAACTATTGTCCTTGCAGGCAGAAGAGTAAAGGCAAAGTAAAAAAAAATTTCTGAAATATTTTGGCAGAGAAATTTTTAACACTACTTATTTGTAGGCAAATTTTTGTATTTCATGAAAATATCGAAAAATTTTGCGGCGCTTTTTGAAATAAAAAAATCGAAGCATTGCTTGACAATGAAAGATGCAAGTTAACTCAATGTTTGATTAGATTTTGACCTTGTATAATATACAATGGAAATGTAAGGTATTCTCTTCTTAGATGAAAAACTATATTTGTAAAAATGAAGCAAAAACGTAGGCATGCGAAACCATTCTTCAGAGTTTTAGGACCGGGACTCAAACAGAAACTGGGAACTAGGTATGCAAGCGTTTTTAACAGTCAAGGTTCTTTGAAATAAAAAAAAATTGCACACATTTTAAAATATGCCTTAAAATTTGTATTGTGCTTTTAAGAGGCAAATAAAATGGACCACTCCTAGATGTTCCTCCAACCATGGAGTTAGATCGATTAATACTTGATTTTCATCAATATTACCAAAATAAAGTGGAAACTTTTTTTAAAGAGCTCAAAAATTACAAGAATTTGTTTGTGATTCTAAATTTGGAAAAATGGGGTTTTATTATCTTCAAAGAGGTGAACAATCCCTTTAAGTTTCCAAATCAACGAATTTGAGTTGTGTCATAAACTCCAATTTTCTAATCCCTATATCTTTGCAGCCAGATGGTGTACACCTGTGAGATTAAAAACTTAGATGATTTGATCTAACAGAATTCATAGTTTGAAATATCTCAGGTCTACGCCATTTGGTTGCAAAGATAAAGGAATTAGAAAATCAAGAGTTTGTGGCAAAGATTTTTAATTCCTTTATAATTTTCAGAAGAACTGATATTGACCCGGAGTTTATGACAAGTGAGGGATTAAAACAACCTCAGCCCAACATACAGGAACCATACTCATCTCTAGATAATAGAAATAATATTTTTTCTTATTCTTTTATCACATTTGTTAATTTATAAAACGGCAAGAAATGACGTAGATTATGAATGTGTATTGAGTATGTACAATGTACATGTGTACAGGACGAATATGGAACTTTGGCACGAAAGCAGGAAACCATTCTTGATATTTCACAGAACAAGGTCCGCTCAAACTTTTATTTTTTACAAGATTTTTAACAACAAAATGATTATCTAAAAGCTAACTACAAAGAATATTCAAAATTTGTATCAGAACTATTTTTGTAGCTTTGTTACCGTATGTAATACAATGTTCACTAAATATTCCTATTTTTAGAAATTTTTCCTTTTGAACAGTTTTTTAAAACTTTTTCTTCCAAGGGACTTTAGCTGGTGTGATTTTTTTTTTAATTTGGTAACGGCTTTGATAAACTGTTAATCGTTTTTTTTATGGAAATTTAGGAGTTTTGGCAAACCGTTAACACCGTTAAAACTACAATTTCTGAACAGCTAATGCCGTTAATTGCAAAAAAATAAACCGTTAGAGGCAGAATATCTTCCTTTAACGCCGTTAATAAAATTGAGATTGTTAACTAACGGTAACTTTTAAAAAACGAAACGGACGTTCCTACCTTTAAAAGTAACGGCTACCTGAAATTTTTTCTAGACTTGAAAGGCGACCGTTATAAATTGGGGATTGCCATGTGTTTGCATGGAAGGTCACTTGAAATACGCGTACAGTCTCTTTATACATATTCCTTGTTTGAACGATATTGCATAGAATAGGGAAGCCGAATATAAAGAAGCAATGAAGGTTCTTCTAAACCAAGCGGAAACTAATAAAGTAAAGTATAAAGGGGCTGAACCCTTATTAATAAAGGAATAAAGCCACAAATTCTTTTTTATTAATATGTACATCCTTGCAACCCAATGTTGCAGACCTTAGATATTTTAAACTATGAATTCAATTATATTAATTAAATAATCTAATCTAATGGTGAAATATCAAAATCTTACACCATCAGTTTGCAAAGATATTAGGATTAGAAAATTTGAGTTCTTGACAAAAGCTTATTATTTAATATTATTATTATTATTATTTTTATTTTTATTTCATCTATCTAATCATTGAATGATTTGGCTGTTGATTTTGAATGCTTGAAAAACGAAGTCTTTTATTTTGAGAATATCGCATCTTTTTAGATTAGCATACGCAGTGCTTTTTATATAACGTATTAGAGCAGATAAAAACATAATAAGAGTGTCCTGAATTGACAAACATAAAGCAAATTAGTATTTTAATAGTTTGAACATTTTAAATGCCTCACTCTCAGTCCGAATTTTTTTTATTTTATTATTTTTAAAAACTCAATTTTCCTAATTTTGATATTTAGACATTGTATTTTCCTGTTCTAGGTTGTTCTCAAGTATGATGGCTTTGAACCAAAAGAAAAAGAAAAAACGAAAGAAAAAGTAAAGGTATAAAGAAATAATTTTCTTTCGAAAATCAGAAAAACAAGTAGATTTTTTAGAAAGCTTTGTTGAACGTTGGATCAGGGGCTCCTCACAGTTTACAAGAATACTTGGATAACAAATATTCAAAATATCCAAAAAGATCTTCGCCACTCGTCCTTTCAGGACAAAAGTCCAAAAATAGGTTGGATACCTTCCTTCCGTTCAAACCCAACCAATTTAACCATCAACCAAGACCAAATGTTCCTAAGTACCCTGGTCCAAAAGTAAATAAATATTTAATAAAACCAATTAAACAAAATATTCATTTGAATGAAGTTGCAGCAAATGCAAACGTACTTTCTTCGTTAAATTTTGGCATTCCATCCGTCCCATCTCCAGGTTATAGACAATCAGGTCTAGCTCTAGGTGCAAAACTATCCGTCCCATCTCCAGGTTCTAAACTATCAGTCCTAGCTCCAGGTGCAAAACCATCCATCCTAGCCCCAGGTTTATCCGTCCTATCTCCAGGTGCAAAACCATCCATCCTAGCCCCAGGTTCTAGACTATCCGTCCTTGCTCCAGGTTCTAAACATCGTACTGGAGATAAAACCTCTCTTCATCTCGGCGCAGAATCAAGGGAAGGATTAGATCTAGAAAACAGGGTCATGTCAAAGGTATCTTACAATTTTGAATATTTAAAAAAATCCAATTTCAGAATTTAACATTTATAAACTTCAGCAAAAGATTTTTGGACAAATGTTCTATACCCGAAAGACAAACAATTTTTTGGCAGATTTTTAATACTGACCCGACACTAAACAACTTTTTCCCTTTCCATGTCACATATTTTTTTTTAAATTTTCAGCCTGATTTTCCTCTTCTCAACATGAAGATTATCGAAGGGGAACTAGGAAAGATTAAGGTAAGTAAGTTTTAGAATTAGTTCTTTAGCAGTATTTGTGTTAAAAGCATCATTTATCATTATTATAAAGAAGAAACATAATAGATTCAAGTTAAATCAGCAGTTTTTCAGCTTGATCTATAAAAAAAGCAATAAAGATAGATTAGTTCTTCTGCTTTATTTGTATCAAAAGCATCATTAATCATAATTATAAAGAAGGAACTATAATTGTATAGAATAGAGATAAATCAGTAGTTCTTCAGCTCTGTTTGTATTAAAAGTATTATTTATCATTATTATAAAGAAGGAACTAGAATAGTATAAAATAGAGATAAACCAGTAGTTCTTTATAGCTCTATTTGTGTTAAAAGCATCATTTATCATTATTATAAAGAAGAAACATAACAGATTCAAGTTAAATCAGCAGTTTTTTTTAGCTTTATTTGTAAAAAAGCAATAATTATCATCTATAGAGAGGGAACTAGAATATTATAAAGATAGATTAGTATAGTTCTTCTGCTCTATTTGTATTAAAAGCATCATTAATCATTATTATAAAGAAGGAACTAGAATAGCATAGAATAGAGATAAATCATTAGTTCTTCAGCTCTAATTGTATTAAGAGCATCATTTATCATTATTATACGAAGGAACTATAATAGTTATAATAGTATAGAATAGAGATAAATCAGTAGTTCTTCAGCTTTATTTGTATTAAAAGCATCATTTATCATTATTATACGAAGGAACTATAATAGTTATAATAGTATAGAATAGAGATAAATTAGTAGTTCTTCAGCTTTATTTGTATTAAAAGCATCATTTATCATTATTATAAAGAAGGATCTAGAATCAAGGGAGTAAAATTATCAGTTCTTTTTTCTTTGTATTAAAATCACTAGAAGCAGCTTCTTCCATCACAAGAGAAGGATAAAAGAAGCTTTTTATTATCAGTATGAAAAATCCCACTGAGCATTTAATGTTTCATGGAGAAGAAAAAATTGAATCATTATAGATCGGTGTATTTAAAAAGTTTAAGGTTGTCATCCAGGTCTTATACTTTCTCTGGGTAATTCTGATTAATCAACTATGATGTTTTGATTCTAAGGAAAACAAAAAATGAATGATTTTATATTTTCTAGGTGGCAAACCTCTCCCATACTCTGAGAGAAATGTGGATGGACTTAAAACAGAATCAGAAAATATTACAGAAGATGCCTCAACAAGAAATCCGACAGACACAGCAGCACTCTGACCAGCCTAAAAAGATGACAGAGCTCGATCACATTTCTGAAACCCCAATCACAAAATCAAACTTTTTTGATCTCAATAAATCTTCTGAAGTAGTAAATGCAGATGAGAATGAAGAATCTAAAACTGCCGATGAATGGTGGAAGAATAATGAAATATGGCCGAAAAGAGTATTAGCTGTTCAAACCAATGCTGTCGGGAAAAGAAATACAGCTGATAAAGACGTAGATGGAAATGTAAACAATAGTCAAAAACGTTTTGGACTTGCCAATTCAAATCCTTCTGGCGCTGGAAACTTCGAAACTGTAAGACACGAAGAAAACGAACAAGAAAATAATGTGGATGGAAAAGTTCTGGAACATTCTTTACCAGAAATTTACAAAATGGACGACACAAGATATGTTCCAAAGAAGCATAGAATATCCTTAGAAGAATTTGATGACCTAAGAAAGTTTGTGGATTCAGAATAAAAATTCCGACTGCAACAAAATAAAAAACCTTTTAACTATTGAATGAATAATGAAAATTTTCTTTTTCTAGATTTTGCTCTTAAATCACATTTGTTTCTTGCCATGAGTAAAACTGTTTTAACTCTAGTTCTTATTAAAGATGTTGTTTTTTAAGAAATACTAGCTGAAAGGCCCGGCATTGCACTTAAAATTTTTTTTTTGTTGAAAAAATCGTTTTTTAGCCTATATCACCCCCAGGCTGCCCATGAGTGTCCACAAAAAATGTCTGCCCATTCGGTCCAGCCGTTTGGCCGGCCAGAGGGAACATGTATATGAATGTTTTATTATATAGATAAACCACACTCAGTGGATTCTAAAATGAGAAGAAAAAAATCTTTCCTGTTTTTGCACAAATTTAATTTCATATTTTCAATTTGCTCAATCTTAATGTGCTATGAATCTCCGATTGTTAAAAAAAAATTTTTTTATAAAAATGACTAATTCTTGATTGTAGTAACAAAAATAAATTTATAGTTATTGATAAATATATTTCCATTTAACAAAAATTATCTTTAATTTACCTTGATGTGTTTAATGCTTCAATGTATGAATTTAAAACTGAATAAACATGTAAACAAACAAATAAAAACTAAAAAAAAATTTAAAACTTGCGGCCCATAAACTTTCTCTTCAAATATTATTTTCTTTTAAAACTGCGAAAATATTTACATTATTGTATATTTTTTCCTCATGTATTTGCATAAAAAAAAACTGAAAAACAACAGTAAAAAAAACAGTAAAAAAAACTTAATAAGTATAATTCTTCGTCAATTGTTACGGATGCATATTTTCTCTTCTTCCAGTCACTACCCGTCTATATATCTGTATTTTCTCTTCTTCCAGTCACTACCCGTCTATATATCTGTATTTTCTTTCTTTGGTCAGTGTTATGTGGCAGAAAATGAGAAATTTATACAATTTTAAAAAATAAGTCTTTCAGTCCAGAATAATTTTTTAATCTCTTTTTTTCAGATGGAGAATGTGAAGAAAATTTGTCTACCAATGAAGAATTAAATTCCCAACTAAACATTCAGAAAAAGTGTCAATGATCTTAACCATAGGCTGAGTTGAAATCTTTGATTTTCTGAACTCTTGCTGAAACCAAGTGTTAAGTTACGTTACTTACCAACACATATTTGATCAACGGAATTCGAGTCAAATTGGGACTTAAATATCTGACAGAAATCAAAGACCGTGTGACTGACTTCAGTGAATTTTTCATGTAATTCTTTTTATTTTATTTTTTAGATATGCCAATTTTGAATAAGTGGTTGATATGCCAAGATTTTTCCCTCTCTTAGAGGTGGTTTAGAGTTAGGAAACGTAGAAGTCATATTTTATTTATTCATGTTTATCAGTTTTTAGTTCCTAGCAGTTTAGAAAAAGGGGTCGATAAATTTAAATACAAATATATGACGCCCGATGTTGGCGTCAAACTATTGAAAATTCATAAATGGCAAATTAATAAAAACAAAGAATGTTGTAATACTGCGAGACCTGAATGCATTGTAATTCTAATTGTGTTCTTTTTCTTTTAGTAGTGAAATATTGCCCAGGATTTGGCAACTGACTCATTTTTATTCTATACCAATGTTAGAACTTTTTTTAAAAAGTAATATCAGCTGCAATTCAGCGAAAATTCTTACATAATGTATGATTGTATCCCTTGAAACCTTCTCCCTGTCTGATTGTATCCCTGAAAACCTTCTCCTTGTTTGATTGTATCCCTGAAAACCTTCTCCCTGTCTGATGTTTTCCCTGAAAACCTTCTCCCTGTATGATAATATCCCTTTAAACCTTCTCCCTGTATGATTGTATCCTTTGAAACCTTCTCCCTATATGATTTTATCCCTTTAATCCTTCTCCCAGTATGATTGTATCCCTTGAAACCTTAACTCCCTGTATAAAGATTGTATTCCTTTAATCCCTCTCCCAGTATAATTGTATCCCTTTAAACCTTCTCCCAGTATGATTGTATCCCTTGAAACCTTCTCCCTGTATAATGATTGTATCCCTTGAAACCTTCTCCCTGTTTGATTGTATCCCTGAAAATCTTCTCCCTGTATGATTGTATCCCTTGAAACCTTCTCCCTGTATGATAATATCCCTGAAAACTTTCTCCCTGTATGACTGTATCCCTTGAAACCTTCTTCCTGTATGATTGTATCCCTGAAAACCTTCTCCCTGTATGATAATATCCTTTGAAACCTTCTCCCTGCAAGATTGTTTCCCTGAAAGCCTTCTCCCTGTATTATTGTATCCCTTGAAACCTTTTCCCTGTATGACTGTATCCCTGAAAACCTTCTCCCTGTATGAGTTTATCCCTTGAATCTTCTCCCGGTATGATTGTATCCCTTGAAACCTTCTCCCTATATGATTTTATCCCTTGAAACCTTAACTTCCTGTATAATGATTGTATTCCTTTAATCCCTCTCCCAGTATGTTTGCATCCCTTGAAACCTTCTCCCTATATGATTTTATCCTTTTAATCCTTCTCCCAGTATGATTATATCCCTTGAAACCTTCTCCCTATATGATTTTATCCTTATAATCCTTCTCCCTGTATGATTGTATCCCTTGAAACCTTAACTTCCTGTATAATGATTGTATTCCTTTAATCCCTCTCCCAGTATGTTTGCATCCCTTGAAACCTTCTCCCTATATGATTTTATCCTTTTAATCCTTCTCCCAGTATGATTATATCCCTTGAAACCTTCTCCCTATATGATTTTATCCTTATAATCCTTCTCCCTGTATGATTGTATCCCTTGAAACCTTAACTTCCTGTATAATGATTGTATTCCTTTAATCCCTCTCCCAGTATGTTTGCATCCCTTGAAACCTTCTCCCTATATGATTTTATCCTTTTAATCCTTCTCCCAGTATGATTATATCCCTTGAAACCTTCTCCCTATATGATTTTATCCTTATAATCCTTCTCCCTGTATGATTGTATCCCTTGAAACCTTAACTTCCTGTATAATGATTGTATTCCTTTAATCCCTCTCCCAGTATGTTTGCATCCCTTGAAACCTTCTCCCTGTATAATGAGTGTATCCCTTGAAACCTTCTCCCTGTATAATGATGGTATCCCTTGAAACCTTCTCCTGTATAATGATTGTATTCCTTTAATGGCCTTCTCCCAGTATGATTTATCCTTCCTTCTCCCAGTATGATTGTCTCCCTTGAAACCTTCTCCCTATATGATTTTATCCTTATAATCTATCTCCCCGTGTGAATGTATCCCTTAATACCTTCTCCTCGTACAATGATTGTATTCCTTTAATAATCATACTCATGACTGTATCCGTTGAAACCTTCTCCCAGTATGATTTAATTCCTTGAAACATTCTCAATGTATATTTTTGTATCCCTTTAATCCTTCTCCCTGTTTAAATGTATCCTCTATCTAGATGAACCCTTCTCCCGGTGTATGATTGTTTCCTTTGAAACCTTTCCGTGAATAATTGTATCCCTTGAAACCTTCTCCCAATAATAAATGTATCCCCTGAAACCTTCTCGCTCTATAGATTGAATCACCTATAATACCGTATCCCTGTATGAAAGACAAAAATAAATTCTGTATTGCCTTCTTATTCTTAACTCCTTTGTATTAAATTCAGACAATTATTAAGTGTATCTTCATAGACTCTCAATTTATCCATTCTTTAAATCTTTCTTATCTGCCTCCTTTCTTCCCTTATATGAATAGATCTCTTTTAGGCGATCGATCTCAGTAAGAACCTGTCCCGTCAATTGCCCGCGAAATCTAGCAGACAGTTTACGAATTACCCGGTGGCTTTCTGTTGCTGCTGCCTGATGTAGCTGTGAATTTGATTGGATTGACGCATGCGTACTTTTAATCTTTAATCATTGCGCATGCGCCCAGATTACAGGGGTAAGTTATCAGTACTCATTTGTCAACCCTCATATCAATCAAATTAATTAATTTTTGTCTTATAACGTTTCGTAAAAAAAATATGGCTGAGACGAATCGTACCGGAAAATAGGAATTAAAAATTTAATATTTATACATTTTGAGCTCTAGTAGTAAGAAATTCTGGGATTATTTTTATTCCAGGATTTTACATCGATGAAATAGTAACTGTTTTCCTTTTCCATTTTGAAGTAAAATTTTCTGAATTTTCAAATATAGAAAAAGTACATCCCTGTAAACCAGATGGAAACCCGGCCGGTCCGATACCTCCCCGCCAGGCACTGTGCGGCCATTAACGAGCTCCGTAAACACAGCTGGTCAAGCTGTCAGCTGTTCCCCCAGTCAGTCAATGTGAGACAGCCATAATGGCGTCTCCCATTCTAAAGTGGAAAAGAGTTGCAAATGCGACAGGCCCAAGTCCAAGGCCTCGTCATGGCCATAGAGCAGTTGCTATAAAAGACCTTATGGTAGTTTTTGGAGGAGGGAATGAAGGAATTGTTGACGAATTACACGTTTATAATACCGGTAAGTGAACGGCATGAAAATCCTCCAAGAAATCCAACATGGCGCGGGTTTGTTTTTATTTTTGTGGAGCCAAAATTTTTCGCGAACTATCTGTCAAATTCAAAACTTGAGTTGGAAACAACTTTGCCATGAAGATTTTAAATTTAAAATTTCATCTAGACATAAATTGATAAATTTTGAAGAAATATTTGTTACACATTTGTTCGCTCTATTTTTCGCCAGTCTGAGATTTTATTGCTATAATTAAGTTTCAGGCCAAGGTTTTCTTAATTTTAATGTTCTAAGAGTGTATAATTCACATTTTCGATTTAAATCTTTAGCGCTGTTTTTACTCTTTTATAATATATTTATAAAACGATTTATACATGCTTATTGCACGTCGAATTTTGAAGTCTTGTAGAAAAAGATAGATATTTTTTTGTGGTTCACAGATGTATTTCAAAATTATGAAACGATTAGATATTCAAAATACTAAAATGCATTTATTACCTTTTTTTGTGCATTGAAATATTACTAGAAGTGGTAAATTGTGCGATCTGCAAAAACTATTTGTTTTTGTTTGTTAGAAATTGTTTAAGATAATGAAAATAAATTCATTTTAGTCAGTCCTTGCATCATTTTCTGGGACAAATCTTAAATTTAAAGCCATTGTTCAGTTTGGATTATTACATTTTTGTGACTTTTTATATTATTTTTATTATTGTTGTTATATTTTATATTTTGACAGCTTGTAAAGCTATTGCGCGGCAAGGAAGCAGGGTACAGGGTATATTGCTGAATCCGCTGTGGGGGTCTTTACTGAGATCGGATATACAAATATCGTCTTTGTTAGGCTTGCTTTCTAATAAACTATTTAGGCAACCTCGTCAATAATAATATTCTATATTGTCAGCGAAGCCTTATACTTGAAAGAGGGGGGGGGGCGTCTCTTTAATATATGAATGGGATGGCATCTCTTTAATTTCTTTGTTTTTTTTTGTTTAAAACATCTTTATGTTAAGAAATGGAAATGGCCTCTGGCTTTTAATAAATATTGAGTATAAAAAGACTATCAAGAAACACATAGGGGAAGAGTGAAAATCCCCCCCCTCCCTTTCATATCCACCCCTGTACTTAATTTTGCGTCTGATAAGTTTTTTCTGCACATGCAATTCGTATCTACTTTTTGAAGAAAAAAATTAACTGAAAACTAATAAGCATTGTGATCCGGTATATTCATTGGATCCACCCCAGTACCCCAATCTTTATAATTAAGACAATTTATAACAAAACAAAAAAAAGTAAAAAATGTTTTATTTTCAGCGACAAATCAATGGTTTGTTCCGCCCGTGAAGGGAGATATCCCGCCCGGATGCGCTGCCTTCGGCTTCGTGGTGGACGGGACCCGCATCCTCGTGTTCGGGGGAATGGTCGAGTACGGCAAATACAGCAACGAACTATTTGAACTACAGGTTTGAAACGCAGAAGTAATTTGCTGAAATGTTTAGACAAAATGTGTAAGATAAACTAAATAATAAAATATGATTCTTGTCTAGTTGAACACATAATTTTATTATTTATTCTGATCCCGAAAATCTCTCGTAAATACACCTTACTTGATGGTATCAATTTATTTATATTTTTAGGTTGATTTTATTTGTTATTTCTAATCTCGAAATTATATATTTTTAGGCTTCAAGATGGGAATGGAAAAAATTAAAACCAAAGTCTCCGCGAAACGCTCCACCACCATGTCCTCGCTTGGGACACAGTTTCACACTAATAGGAAACAAAGTAAAATATTGTTTTTTGTTAGAAACATCATAAATTAAATAATTATATCTACTTAAAAAATGGTTATAAATATTTACAATTTACAACGGTACCCTGAAAACCTTTGTGTGTTTGTCGAGTACAGAGCTACGTGTGAGTAAACTTATCGAAACCCACTTGTATTCAGCTGCAAATTCCGGCGTGCGTTGTGTCTTTATCAGATTGTTAACAGCACAAGTATACACATTTATCTGTACTCGACGAACGCACAAATAATTTAAGGGAACCGACACAAATCGGGCATTGCCCTCTTTACATGGAGGGTCACTTAAAGTTACCTTAACAGACCCATTAAATTTAGTTGAAGAGTTCAGATAGATTTATCTTCAACCATTTAGTTCAATAAATACATATTATGATATTCTTTTCTTTCTCCAGGTTTACCTATTTGGAGGGTTGGCTAATGACAGTGAGGATCCCAAGAACAATATTCCTCGTTATCTGAATGATCTGTACACCCTGGAGATTAGACCCAACTCCAATATCATGCAGTGGGATGTACCTAGCTGCTACGGACAAGCTCCGCCCCCTCGGGAATCCCACTCCGCCACGGCGTATACAGACAAGGACGGATTAAATCCTAAATTAATAATTTACGGGGGTATGTCTGGGTGCCGACTCTCAGATCTATGGATCCTACATATAGATACAATGACTTGGAATAAACCTCAGCTGGGTGGAGTACAGCCCCTTCCTCGTTCTCTTCACAGCGCTACAATGATCGGAAACAGGATGTTCTGTTTCGGTGGCTGGGTCCCCCTTGTCATGGACGACGTTAAGGTTGCGACCCATGAGAAGGAGTGGAAGTGCACCAACACCCTGGCCAGCCTCAACATGGAGACAATGATCTGGGAGTCCTTGTCTCTCGAGGTATTTGAGGACGCAATGCCGCGTGCAAGAGCAGGACACTGCGCAGTATCAATCCATTCTCGGTTATGGATCTGGTCGGGACGGGATGGATACAGGAAAGCGTGGAACAACCAGGTCTGCTGTAAGGATCTCTGGTACCTGGAGACAGAACGACCTGCAGCTCCAGGACGGGTTCAGCTTGTCCGAGCCTCAACCCACAGTCTGGAGGTGTGCTGGGGAAGTATACCTACTGCTGACGCATACCTACTGCAGGTACAAAAGTATGATATGCCCGCCACTGCTCCAGTAACAACAACAACCAACAGTGTTACCGCCGCTCTCCCGTCCCCGTCTACTATCTCAACCTCAGCGCAGCATCAAGCACAGGCTATCAATTCTATAACGACACAGCAGGGAATACCAAGTTTAGTCTCCCCGGTCAAATCAGTCCAGCAGCCGACAATCATCCGTATGTCGAGCCCCATGGTGTCCCAGGTTGCCATGTCCTTGCCCAGCGGTGTAGCCGGTGTGCGCCCGGTCACCAACATTGTGCGCGTTCGTGCGCCTTCTGCAGGTTCTGCTGCGCTCGTTCCCGGTCAGCAGATCAAAGTTGTCGGAGCTTCCGGTCAAACTCACATAATTAAATCTGCACCTGGTCAAGGGGGCATGACCGGTATTGCTGCCCTGGCTGCTGCAGCTGCTCAGCAAGGGAAGATGGTGACCTCAATAGCAGGTGTAGGAGGTCAGCAGACGGCTATCAAGGTTCTACAAAGCAGTGGAGGTTTAGTTACTCAACAGGGAATAAAAATGACACAGGCCACTCTCGGGCAAACTGCGGTCATTGGAGGTCAAACAGTACGACTAGCATCTCCAGGTTAGCTTCACAAAATTATGATTTTTATACAAAATAGGACTGGAATCATTATGTGGGGAGTTCACTGTCCACTGTTCAGGCTTAAATGGAAAATGGATTTACTTTTTTTTGATTTTATGCTTTTTTAGCCATTTTCTGCGTTGGGTATCTTATTACTTGAAAATTACGAAAAGCAAATATTAAAAAGAATTCCTAGTAAAGAGCGTTCTAGTTTAAATATGTGTCCAGTCCTATGTTTTAATAAATATGATGAACACCATCCTTGCCCTGATAAATCTATGCTTACAAGCATGAGATTTAAAGGAAGACAACCTGGCTTAGATCTGATTTAAATCATAGTAATTTGATAATAATTTCTTGGTGCAACTTTCTTGGTTTAGATCTAAAAACTTTTGACTTACAATACACACACACTGCTGAAAATGAACCATCAGGATTCAAGTCAAAATACCTATTTTTTTCGGAATATATTAATATGCAGGCTTATAATCTAAATTTTCAGAAAATGCCACCTAGGGAATTTAAAGTAAATCGATTTAAAAGAAATTGTAGAAATGAAGTGCATTTTCAAGTCTAAACTCAATCGTAACTGTTGGTTCAAAGATTAATCAAGATTATTCTGAGTTTATTTTGCGATATTTTTAGAACTGTTGATGGCAGGGTCCCCAAATTTTGTGAATTTTCCTGAACAGTTATAAGACATGTTTTAGCAAAAAAAATCAAAGTTAACTGTAAAATTGCCCAAATACTGCCTAAAAAAAAAGACTTTTTCGGGCCGCATTGTGACAGTCAGTTGACTTAGGGGTTTGATTTTTTGCTACAATAAGTTTCATGACTGTCAAAGAAAAATAAAAAAATTTGGAGACCATGTCATATACTGTTAAAAAATATCGTCAAAAAAAAAACAGAGGAAGCAGATCAAATCTTGAAATGAAATTTTTGTTTGATTTAAGACCTGTTTCTGATTTCTTCAATTTCTTAAAAATGGATTTGCTGAAAATTCCCTAGGTGGCATTTTCTGAAAATTGAGAATATAACTCAGTAGCCTGCATATAAACATAATCCGAAGAAAAAATTGATGTGTTTTGACTTGAAACCTGATGGTCCATTTTCAGCTGTGTGAATACAGAGCATTAACCAACCAATGTTATATTAAACTCGTTTTTTTAGACTTGTTTTGAGTGAATTTAAATGATATTTTACGTATTCTTTAGTCTTTCGAAATTGAAGTAAATTTTTAGAAGAACTAGAGAAGAGGCTGATTGTAAAATTGATAATGATTAGTCAGTGTTTCTCAAAAAAAAGTTCATTTTCCTTTCATGGCATTTTGAAATCAAGTCAAAAGTCTAAAAGTAAAAATTAACAATTTAAACTCAAATATTGAACATATTAAATATAGTATTCAGTTTATGTTTTGCTTAATTCTGCATTGAATAATAAAAATAATACGAAATAATGTTTAGGGGGGACCTTGTTAAAACCAGGGACTGCTATAACTGGTCCAGGTGGCAAACAGATAATTCTACAGAACAAGGGACCTGGAGGGGCTCAAGGACCTCAGATAGTTACCCTCGTCAAAACAAGTCAAGGGATGCAGGTAAATAATCATATTTAACTTATTTACTAGTTTAACACTTGGGGGAAATCTGTCTTGAGCGAAGTAAGGGAGTTTGCTCTAAGCAAGTCCGACTCTGTTGTATTTTTCCTGAATTAATTCATTAACAGGGATTAGTTGTAGTTTTAGCTCCTTAGTTATAACATTTTATGTGTTCGGCAAAATAGATTAATTAGTGTTGAAGTCGTAAAGCTTCAGCTTAAATCGACATTTTTTGTTTTACTTGAAAAATAAAATGATTATTCCTTGAGACAAAAGGGGGAGGTGGTTTAAGAATGTATGACAAAGCAGACAACCTCAACAAACCATAGTGATAACATTTATTGTACCATGGACATTCTCTTGGTTCTTCTGAGTTCCCTAATCAATATTTAATGTAAATCTGTCAAGGGGTTCGTGAGTTATATATTGATTACGAAACAAACAGAAAGACAAGCAGAGATACAGAGATTACTATTTTATATACATAAATTAACCGTTGAACTTGGTTTAGGTTGCTACTGTACCTAAGGGAGCTGGAACCAATGTTGGACCAAGGATAGTTCAAGCTGCACCGGGCAAACAAATACCTCAAGGAGCAACTATTGTCAAGCTTGTCAATGCTCAGGGGCAACCAGGTGGGTTATAAAGACGGGGGGGGGGGGTAGACCAGACACAGAAAGGTCAATTTAAGTAAGTGTGAAAAACAAAACAATATTTTGAAGATAAGGTGTGAAAGATCAAAAATCACCATTTATTTTAAATTTAATTGAACGAACCAAAAAAAAGTAAAAGTAGGGAAAGTAAAGGAGAGTAAAAACTAGAGAAAATGAAAGGAAATGCAGAATGACACAACTAAAAGAAATACTGAAGAATTAGATTAAGACAAATTATTAACTGTATTTGAAAGAAAGTGAATGAGATATTCAAAAGTTAAAACTTCTTCTGTTCAGTTGGTCAGCTGACCAAGCCTGCTGTGTCGGGTGTAAAGACTATCTCCAGCACTATGATGACCATGAATAAGGCTGGAGGAATGCAGGTGCAGGGTGGAGTACATGTTCAAGGTGGGGTACAGGTTCAAGGAGGAGTACATATGCAGGGTGGAGTACAAGTTCAAGGACTGGGGGGAAAACAAACTATTGTTATCAACAAGGGAGGTTCTGCGATCAGGTAATTATTCCAAAATAGCGACAACAAAAAATTCACATTTTTTAAAATCTGATATTGTCGTTTCTTACTCACGGAAATTGGTTTTTTAGCTGTTTTTTTAAAGAATTTCTCCCAACGTCTAAATTCATCTAAAATATTGATAACTAGCTTGGGAACCCAGCTTTGCCTAGAATCTAAGTTTCTCGAAAATAATTAACCTTCTAAATGTGTAAGTTTTAAACCTGTCTTAAGAACATTCGTGGTTTTACAAAGAGTTTTCCAATCAAATTTTGAGGCCAATCCGTCAAAGGGTTTCTGAGTTATGATCAGACTTTACAAACAGAGTCTTCAACTTTTTATGTACAGATAATAGCTTGAGGATCCAGCGTTGCCCAGGGTACTCAAAATTTTTTCCGCTTTTTTCATATAAAAATAGACCCACTCAACTAAGAATCTTATAACTAAACTAAAATATTCCTGTGGTTCTACCGCGTTCTTCAATCAAAATATAAGGCAAATCGGTCAAGGGAATTCTGAGTTATGTTCTGACATATAGACAAACAGATTACTACATTATATTCATAGAAGATGTACACTTTGTACAGTATTACCCTTTTTCAGCATTGTTGATACCCTCTAATATTATAGAACTGCCGGAGGACAGCAGGTTCTAGTGATGACGACCTCGGCTGGGATGAAATCTGTTCCCCAGGCTCAGTACTCAGTAGCAGGTTAGTTTAACCAAAAAGAATTCAGACATTTTGAAAAATAAATGGGAGAAGGGATTAATTTATTAAAAACTTGACTTAATCCTGAAAGAACAAGTTAACTCCCTTTTAAAAATAAAAAAGTTGTATGTCCTATTCATTGCTGTTTTTTAATATCCTATCTGATTAACCATGAGGAAGAAATCTTTTTTTTACGTATTATTCTGTTAATTTCCTTTATTGTCTCTTCAACTTAAATACGCAATTCGTTTTATAGAGAAATTAAAATTGAAAATAATCACGAATTTTAAATTAAAAATGATAAATTTTCATCCTGAAATATAAGGGTTAATATGATTGGATAAAGGTTTGATGGGTACCGTTGTGAATAGGGACATGTCACTCAATATTACGTCTCTAGTAAAACGAAATATTGCCAATTATCAATGATGAACAACATCCTTGCCCTGACAAATCTATGCTTACAAGCATGAGATTTAAAGGAAGACAACCTGGCTTAGATCTGATTATACTTACACGCTACATTTACAATAAACACAAATACTGTCTATTATTTTTTTTACTGAATTTGTTCACTAACTGCAGGAAGTGGTCAAATAGGAGGTCAGCTTAGTGGTCAGACTGTCTACGCTACACAAGGTATTAAATTTAACCATTACTATAATAATAATAAATGAAATTGAAAGTATTTCGAATGGTGCACATCAGTTGTTGCAAAGAACACATATTTAAAAAAAAAAAACCCTTAAACCTCACAGTTTGTGTTTTAATTCCGATAAAAAGAAAATTTAACTTTTAGTCCCTGTCCATCTGTTTAAAATACAAACTATTTGTTTAAGGGGGTATGAAGATGATAGTTGTATCCAGCGGTCAAATCTCCAATACCTCCAACAGGCCGGTTATGATGAGTATTCCAAACCAGGTATTAGAAGATTATAGTTTCCCAGAACAAATACAGGGATATATATTATTTAATATATTTTAAAGAAATTCTTTTTGGTCTGAAGGGAAAACATAAAAAATGGACAAAAAACGTCGAGTTATATTTTTTCTCATCCAAAATGCATGATTCCTCATTATTTATTTGAATTTCCATCGATCAATAATACCCCCAAAAATGTAAACCTTAGATTTTGGGTAGAATTATTTCTAAGAAAAATATTATACACACCTGAAAAATATCTTCGCATCGGTTTTATATATCAATAGATATTGAATGCAAATACTTTGAAAAAATTGATCGTAGCTCTAATTCTTTTTTTCTAGTTGCAGGGAGTAAAAACTGTAAGTATGCTTGGTAAACCTGGAGTACCCACCCAGCTCCTGAGCAGTGGTTCAGGACAGATACTTACTCTTCCGGCTCAAGGAGTTCTTCCAGGATCAACACAAACCATGATGATAGGTATACTTTAACTATTTCTGAAGAATAATCTACATATTTGGATTTTTGTGAAAATTCGCAAGTTAAAACAGTTTTCTTTATCTTGAACAGTTTTCTTTATCTTGAACAGTTTTCTTTAACTTGAACAGTTTTCTTCAACTTGAACAGTTTTCTTTTCAGTAAATTGTACATAAAATGTTGTAGGTAAAAAAGTTATTATGTTAACACTGGTTAAAATCTGATTTTTTTTTATTTGTTGTATAAAAGAGAAAACATTTCTGATTCAAGCTGACATAAGAATTATTTGCAGGTGGTAAACCAGTAACAGTGCTCACAAGTGGTGCCGGTGTACAGGGGAAAACTGTACAGCTTGTCAGCGGTGCAACTGCACAGCAGTTTGTCAGCGGTGTCAATCCTCAGCAGTTTGTCAGCGGTGGTGCAGGTCAGCAGTTTGTCAGCGCTTCCCAACAGATCATCTCCTCCGGTCATCAGGTGGTCATGGGGAGTGGGCAACAGATGGTTGTGATGCAGGGAGCTGCTCCCACCGCAAGCCTGACCGCTAGCGACGGACCGGTCACTAGTGACGCAGCTCTAGCTCAGCTGGCCGCCGAAGCAGGACTGCTGGAGGGAGAGGGGGAAGGCGTAACATTGATGCAGGGCGGGCAGGTGGACGGAGGGATGGTAACGCCCCAGGAGTTGGAGCTTGTGGATTTTGGTGGGATGGATATGAACCAGTATCTGAATATGTTCAGCTCACAGCTAGACGGGGATCCAGGGGATATCGAGGAGAAGGAGGAGCAGGAGCAACCCAAGGAGAATCAGGAGAACACAGACGACATTACGAACACAAACCACATCACGAACACAAACCAGGTTTCCGAACCAGTTCCTGAACAGAGTACACCAGTTGAACAGAATGATACCGACCTGGAGCAGAGTAATGAATCCAGAGTTGAAGGAATAGTTGAATCAAAGACAGAAGAGAGCAGTAATAGCCAAAGTACAAACGAGGTAAAGTAGTTTGAAATAAATTGTTTTGTGTGGTTCTTTTCTCTTCTCCCTTTTCTCTTTCCTCTTCCCTTTTACCCTTCCCTCTTCCCCTTTTCCCTTCCCTCTTCCCCTTTTCCCTTCCCTCTTTCCCTTTTCCTCACTTCTTTTCCCTTAACATGGGCGTAGATAGGGGTATAAAATGTATTTGTATAAATACTTCTTCATGTCCATTTATACACTACTTATTTTGAGATTTTTGGCCTTTCAGAATTTTGACAAAGATAGATTCTGCATGCAAGATTATCCTTGTAAGACTTCAGGACTAAAAAGCCAACTGTCCGGGGACGGATTGATCTGCAACAGACTCCTGTAAAAGACTAAGAATTGGTTTCTTTGATGCAAAACCAAATCAGGAAAGAAAAATAAAGTTATAAAAAATATTTTGTCAGGGGCGTCTTGAGAAAAAATCTATTGTTAAACTCAATTTCAGATTTTTTTTTACAAAATTATTAAACTGAACCATCCATTAGGAGTGTTAGGAACTGCATCCAAAATGCACCATTCTTAACGAAAGGGGCGCCTAGAAATTCAATATCACTCTTCATGAATTTTATTTGATTTAAAAAAGAAAATATTGTTTTTTTATTTTTTAAATTATTCAACCTTTTAAGAAGCTCGGAGCCTTCAATAGATTTAATATCCAAAATATATCATTTTCATAAAGAGGTGGGGCTAGAAATTCAATTTCTCCTAAAATCAAAGAAAATAATGATTTTAAACCATATCATCCTTTAGTTAGTGTCTTTAAAGATGCACATTTTTTTCCTAGAAAAATTTAATATCACTAAATAAATAGATTAGATCTTACCTAACACAAACAAAGAAAATATCAATTTTACTAGCTTAAAGATCTAAAAAACACAATTTTGATTGAAAGGGTCGCCTAGAAATTCAGTGTCACTAGACACCCCCCACTTGGATTTCTTTTGCAAAAATTAAAGAAAATGTTAGTTTATAATGTAACACCATACCATCCTGCATGTTGAGAGTGTTTTCAAAGGCATTAAATGCGCCATTTTTATTATAAGGCGTGTTTAGAAATTCAATATCACTGAACATTCCCATCTTGGATTCCATTTGTCAAAATCAAAGAAAATGTTAATCTAAAGTTTTTTCAGACCATATCATCCTTTACATTATGAAGTTTCTTCAATAACTACAAGTTTTTATTTTCTTTGCGTTTGACAATTGAATTTCAAGAGGGGGGGATGTAAAGTGATATTGAATTTCTAGGCTCCCCTTCCTGTGAAAAATGGTGCATTTTGGAACTTTTAACTTTAAAGGTGATCCCTAAAGAATGGTATGATTTAAAATAATCCGAATTTATTATTTTCTTTGTTTTAGCGAGATGATATCTGAGTGGGGGTATTCATTTATTTTGGAGTTCTTGGCGCCCCTTTCGAGGAAAATGGAGCATTTTGGATTTTTAAGCTATCTGAGACAATTCTCACAGAATGATATGTTTTTAAAAAATGAACAATTTATTTAAAAATTACCTTTGGTTAAATAATAAATACTGATATTAAATTTCTAGGATTTCCTTTTGATGAAAATTGTGCATTTTGGATCTTTCATCCAGGGGTCTATTCAGGAATTTGTCCAAGGGGGGGGCTTATTTTTTTTCTTTCCGGGGAGGGGCTCAGCACCCGTTGGGGCCTGAAAACTCCCTGAAGTCAATAGATTTTACTGGTCTAGGGAGGGACTTAGCCCCCATAGCCCCCCCCCCCCCTGAATACGTCTCTGCTTTCATCCTTTGAAGATTCTTCCTATAAGATGGTTGGCTTTAAAATTGCCCAAGTTTATTAATTTGCTATGATATTGAAAATTTAAGTCTGAAATTGAGTTAATACTAGATATTTTCCCCTTGACGGGGCCCCTAACAAAGTGTTTTTTCCTGATACGGATCCGGATCCGGATCCGACCAAATGATACGGATACGACCGGATCCGGATCCGAAACGCTGATTCTGACGACCTAAAATTTTAAAATATCTATGATATGTTGACATCAAAAAATATTTAAATGAATACGTACTTTCTACGACCCTGATTAAAGAACAAGAAATGAGAATTTTTTAAGGATTCAGGTTAAAAAAATAAGTAAGCAATTTGTTGGTTTCATGATTGTGAGAATGAATTAAGATTAGTTTCAGTTTCTAGAATTAAACAGCTGATCTATCTATCAAGTTTCCTTTGAATAATGTGTTATTATACGCATTATCATTCAACAAACATTTGTGCTAATGTTGTCGATAAAATATAGACAATTAAGGGAAAAAATTGATTTGTGCTTTTGTTCCAGACTGAAGAGGAACCAGAGAAACCTATTGATCATGTTCCAGCTCCCGCTGAACCAGAACCGACAAAGGAACTGACGAAAACAGAATCTGAACCTGCCGGTGAAACCAAGGCCCCGGAACCTACAGTCATGGTTGAACCCACTCCGACAGAACCCAGTCCTACGACGGAGAACAATCAAACCATTATAAATAAAACTCCGACTTCAAATCCGGTTCTAGATCCCCCGGTTGCTGAAACAGTTCCGGCTTCGGAATCTGTTTTTGATCCTTTACCCGTGACAGAACTTAGCTTCCCACTTCCCCTAGTCCTAAACACACCTAAAGCTAAACTAGAACCTCTTCTTGATCCAGCTCTTAACATTAAAGAAGAAAAATTATTTTCCAATGAACCTTTAAAATCCGGGAATGGTGTTGGGGCGGAGACGGAGGAGAGACCTGACCAGGCGGATATGGATGGAGCATCAGCACTCGCTGCGCTCGCTTCCGCCGCTAGTATAGCTCAAAATACTGTCAAGCAGGAGACCAATGGTATCAAGAACGAGATTGATGAGGTGAGATCTTCAGGGACAAAAATTTTAATTTATATCTTTCATTAATATCAAAAATATTGTTGTATTTTTAGATTTTACTAGAAGACAAAAAGAAGGATTTATCTTGGTTCGATGTTGGAATAATAAAGGTAAAATTGATATTTAGATAAACAATTGTTTGTTTGGGGCGTAAACTTTTTTTTTCTTTTTCCAAATACTGTTGTTTTAAGTGTCCGAAAAAAAATCTAATGTGTTGTGTAAAATAAATGTAATTTTTTTGGAAATCTGTGAAAGTGAAAAAAAAAATCAGTTTTGCAACAACAACTAAATTATTTTTAGAAATAGATAGTTTTGCTTGGGAAATAGAAAAATTTCCTGGTGAAAATACCTAAACATTCAACTTTGATTTAAAATTCAGTGATGGTGATGAACCAAACCTCTGTAGAGTAAAAAAGTAGATGTTAGTTCCACATTTATTGAAAATATATTTCGGTCTGGGTTGACCCTCGTCAGTTCTAACGATATAATAACCATCAAAATCGATAAAAAAAAAATTTAAAAAATGTAAAAATCACAAGAAGATAAACAAACAAAAAGATTATTCAAAATAAAAATTTGGGCTGTCAAATGGACATTCAACTTTGATTAGTTTTTCAAGAAATCGTATATTTAGGGAACCTCTTGTACAGTATCAAGCTACTACCTACCTTCTGGAGATCTGGAGAGATCAGAAATAGATATAGAGGTCAGATCTTTTCTTACTTTCTACACCTTAGATCATCAAGTTTGAATCAAAATAATTCGGTTTTAAAGTGACTGCTGGCGTAATTTCACGTGACCCTCCGTGGAAAAATCAGTTTTTCTGGTTCAAAATAAATTATTTCATGTAATGTGGCCAGGCTGGTTCAGGATTTTTCTTACCGGTACGGGTCGGATATTCCTGTAGGCGGTCTGGGTTGCCCAAGATGGGGCTTCTTGCAGATCTCATTTCACATATCACACATGGTTTCTCTGTATAAGTGACATGTTTAATATATGCTGCAGAAAAAAATGGAAGAACTTTCAAGAATTTCACAATTTCACAGATTTAAATCTCGATATCATCCTCATACAAGGATTTTAACGGTACTTTTGTGAATCTGTTCTGCCAATATTTAAATTACTTAAAATTATGTAAAAAAAATTATGCTGGATAATTTTTCAAAATCAGTATTAAGATATTAATGTTGATGTTTAGAATGATGAGAGTATAAGTAAGAAATTGGAACTCCAGCCTGGTACAGCATACAAGTTTAGAGTAGCGGGGATAAACGCCTGTGGTCGAGGTGCTTGGAGTGAGGTAAAAACTGGATAAAACGACTTAAACTGAGGGAGGGGTTCCAGTGCTTAGGATCCGGATCCGCAAGATTTTGGCTTCCTGGATACGGATCCGCAAAAATATGCGGATATCCGGATCCAAGAGGTAAAATATCAAATACAAGTTTAGAGTAGCGGGGATAAACGCCTGTGGTCGAGGTGCTTGGAGTGAGGTAAAAACTGGATAAAACGACTTAAACTGAGGGAGGGGTGGGGGGGGGGGGTGGATAGATTCCTTAGTGTCTGAGAACATTTTACCGCAGGGTCATGGATGAGATTTATTTTTTAAACATCAATTTGTTAACAGAACGAGGTGGGGAAATATTATACAATTTGTAGTATTCGTGGTATTAGTTTTGCCATTATAAATAAATAATGTCCAAAAAAAATGTTGAACGCTCTTAGAGATTAATTAATAATCAATAATAACTTTTTTTCTAGATCTCTGCCTTTAAAACCTGTTTACCTGGTTTCCCTGGAGCCCCATCGGCGATCAAGATCAGTAAATCCGCCGACGGTGCACACTTGTCCTGGGAACCGCCTTCCACGAGCACCGGCGATATCGTCGAATACAGTGTTTACCTTGCAGTTAAATCTGCCACTACCTCCGCCCAGGTAATTGGATTTATTTTACTTCCGCCGCACAAAAATATATTTGCCACTGCCTATGTCTTTTTAAAAACCATTTGCCACTAACCCCGCTTAAATCATCAAATATACCAGTTACACTACTAACGCTCTTTTAAAAATATATTTGGCACAACCAAGAGTTTAAAAGATCCACAATTTTTACCGCCAAACTAATGACTATATTAAACGCTTCAAACCGAAAAGCTAAATTAAAAGTGTTAAATATGAATAAACTAGGTTTTTATGTAGATTGACGTCGCCGCTTTGACAGTTTTCCAAATATCTTATAGTCGCTTTTTTTAACCATTTTTTTATTTTTAGGGCGATACAAAAACAGTTTCCAGTAGTCCCAGTCAGCTCGCATTTGTTCGCGTATTTTGTGGTCCAAGCGCACAGTGTGTTGTACCTAACAGTAGTCTAGCCGCTGCACATATTGACACTACAACCAAACCAGCAATCATATTTAGGTTAGAAAATTGTCACTTTTTGGAGGGAGGGNTTAAATTGAAATATAAAAAGTGACTTTTTTAATGAACACTTTTTCCTGAAAATCTGTATTCTTTATTCTTTATCAATGTTTGTCATTCATTTAAAAAATATATTAGATTAGGTTTATTATAGGGGGCCATTTAGAATTTAAAAATATAAATGTTACTTCTATTTTGGAATCTAAAATATTGTTGAATAATAGGATAGCTGCGAGAAATGACAAGGGATATGGCCCAGCAACGCAAGTCCGGTGGTTGCAAGGTAATCCTTTTTTAACAATTTTATCCAAATATTTTAGACCATTTTTTCTCTCAATATTTTTAAACAGACAAAAACTTTCGTCCATGTGCCCAGATTACAAAATGATTGAATGTTCATAGCATTTTAGGTTTTTAGAAACACCAAAAAATTAAATATGAAATATTCTGTTTGTTGTTTTATTGAATATTAATTAAACTAACATGGATATTGGATACCATTTAAGCCTACCAATTAGATCCCAAATTAGCAATATCTGAACGTAAAGATCGTAAAATTAAATAAGATTAATAATAACGCCATTTTTTCCAGATGCTAACAGCCCCGCTTTATCTGGGAAGTCTGGTTTGAAGAGGCAGGCTAGCGGGGGTGGGGGCGTGTCCAACAAGATGCCTAAGATCTAGATCCAGTACAGTACAATAGTACATATAGCAGTTCCGTCGTGTCCGTTTAGCGGATTTACAGTGCCCTTTTTGAGGATATTTCGGAGTAGTAATTTGCTTCAAATTTAATTTAAACTCAAGCCGTATTTTTTTTATTTTTTGTGCACACCCTACACTTGTACTGTGGGTGGATGTACTGTACGTGTAAATAATTGCTTATACTAATCTTGTGTACATGATCATGTACATCAAAAGCCCGTGTAGACAAGGTTGATGTAACTTAAGTATGTTTTTGTACATAAAACTGAAACTTTACACTTGAATTCTTGAAAATTATTACAATTATTATGCAAAAGTATCTAAGTATCCTATGTGTGGGATTTGTCTATTATATTAAAATTTGTACTGCGGAGGCTAACTTGGACCTCCACCTTACCATTCTCAAGCAGATAGTGTTATATCGAGATTATATTCAATACATCTATTAAAAGACAGAAAATAGTTTAAATATTTCAGATAATTAGAAAATGGATTTTGACGGCGATTTGAGTCGTTTTGTGGTTTAAGGAATGTGATGTTTAGAATTGCTACAGGGTGTTTCGAGAAATTGTATCGAAAAACGTTGTTTCTTAAATTTATCAACAACTTAAAGAGGCTGGATTTGAAAAGTGAAATTCTTTGTAGTAAAGGTATTGCTACGTCTGAAGCTATGTCTTAACTTCTATTTAATGTAAAAACGGAGCACAAGAATATTATGGTAACATTTACAGAACTGAACGCGAAGTTAGCCAAAGCTACTAGAAGGAGGGAATCCCCGGACGCCATGAGCTTCCGCTATGCTGACACGAGCCTCCCAGATTTGCGAGGCAAGGCAGAACGAACCTCTACTATGCAGACCGTGTCTCCGCTTTGCTGTAAAGGATCCTCCACCATACAGCACAGCTTTTTTAATCTTGTTTTTTATGTGTTCTATCAATTTTGACGTAATGGCATAAGAATTCAACTAAAGATCAGAGTTAATTATTGATTGCCATGATTAGAAACACGAATGAACTCGTACGGTGGTTTATAAGATCAAAACTAAAACTTTAAACCAGTGCTTAGGATCCGGATCCGCAAGATTTTGGCTTCCTGGATACGGATCCGCAAAAATATGCGGATATCCGGATCCAAGAGGTAAAATATCAACCAAAAAAGCAATAACTTTTTTTGAAAAATGTTAAAATTTAAATGAATTATACAAATTTTCTACGAAGAAAGGTATCGCTTAAATCAAAGATTCTAAAATATGAAATAAAATTCAATTCAAATTTTTTTTCTCGATATATTTTCCTTTTCGTGTAAAAAATGTTTTATATACCACTTTATTAGTCACTATATACTATATACCACTATTTATGATAATTAATAATCACTTCTCGTCTCATGCCACTATGTCGAAAAATTTGTAAAAAAAAATCCTTTATTTTAACTTCAAACACAATTTGATGTATTGCGCATGCTCATTACTGCATAGCTGAGGCTCCGTCTACCTAGCAAATCTGGAGGCTCGTTTTTGAATAGCGGAGGCTCATGGCGTCCAGGGGTTCCCTCCTTCTTGTAGCTTTGGCCAACTTTAATTTTTCACAACATTGCGTTTAGTTTTGTAAATGTTACCATAACTTTCCCTCCCTCGCTACAACGTAAAGGAGCTCATTTTAATTTTTAATTTCAAAAATATGTATCTTAACGCGATTACTGATGATGAACGCTATCGTAAAAAACGCCGAAAATAGAAGAAATCATAACGTTGACATCTCTAAATATTTTTATGTTTTTTTTTCGTAAATTATTGTTTCTTATGGTTTTTAGACTAGAATCGTGAGTAAATACATTTTGTCTGGCAAACTCATGGTTAACTACCCCTAGCTCTGTTTCAATTTTGTTGAAGTACAGTTTTCTGTAAGACTTGTGTCGATCAGGGGTGAATATTTTCCAGAACTTGAAAGTTTTTTTATTATTTTTTGATTCTTGTCTAAAAAAATCATTTGTTTTCTCCAATAACTTTGAGAGGAAAAAAATATTTTTTTGAGGGGGATAATTTTTCTGGAAAATATACACCCCTGACAAGTGTTTAAAGTCTCTTTATACAGGCCCCCCTCCCCCTCTGGATACTATTCCCTGAGTCCTGTTTAGTTCTTGATAACGTTTATCCTTAATATTTGTTATTTGTTGATATTATTAGATTATTTTCCCATTTTATCTCACATTATATAGTTAATCAATTATGCTGCAAGAGATCTGAGATTTGAGATTTCTGTACTTTTGTGAACAATTTTAAGGGATTGTGTATCCTAATTCAAGTGTAACATTAATTTTAAGGGATTGTGTATCCTAATTCAAGTGTAACATTAATTTTAAGGGATTGTGTATCCTAATTCAAGTGTAACAATAAATTTAAGGGATTGTGGATCCTAATTCAAGTGTAACAATAATTTTAAGGGATTGTGTATCCTATTCAAGTATAACATTAAATTTAAGATAACTATTGATGATGCAGGAATGTATCTATTGACTCTTGTCCCTCAATATAAATGTTAGTGAAGGAGAATTCTAGTTCGCCTTTTTATCACGATATTTGATCCTGATGCATTTGCTTAAAGGGACTGTAAGCGTAATTTCAAGTGATCCTCCATGCAAAGCTTGCAATTACGAATTAGATATCCATGTTACCGATCTAGAAAACTGATTGTTTTCAATTGTGGTTTTTCTACACAAGTGACTTGCGTTCGCGGTTCTACTGTATGAAAGCATATAGGAGTTATCAGGACTTAACACTTAAACCAAGAAAATCGACAATATCTTTATTATTGTAGATCAGATAAATGTTTAAAGGGTAATGTTGTAAATCGGGTGTTCTTCCCGGAGGGTCACTTAAAATTACTCTTACAGTCCCTTTAAGACCGCTATTGATGTATTCTTTGACCCTTTATCTAAATATTATCGATGAAGAATTTTAGTTTTCCTAATTTATAATTCACAACTTGGTCCTAATTTGCTGTCCCTGATAGCATAATTTCAAGCTATCTTTCATGCAGAAGATGGCAAATCAGATTCACATTGGTGCCTTTAAAACTTTATCTGATCAAGTATGAATTAGATATCTATTTTAATAATTTAGAAAACTGATTATTTTCAATTGTGGTTTATTTACAAAAGATCGACTGAGCGCATTTCTGCTGCAAGAAAGCATATAGGAGTTGTCAGAACTGAACACCTTTAATCCTAGAAAAACGACAGCATCTTAAACATTATTTATCAGATAAAGGTTTTAAGGGTGAATAGGGCATTTCTATCTTTTCATGAAAAGTTACTTGAAATTACGCTCACAGTCCCTTTAAGTTACATGATATTACGCTCACAGTCCCTTTATAAAGGACTCTCGCCCTATTTACAAATTTACCCTTTAATCTTTGTCTAAGCAAAATTGACAAAGTTAGTCTTCTTGTTATCTGATAAATAATCATTTTTATTTGCACTTCTCTAATAAAAAGTAGTTTATTTTTAATCGGGCAGGTTGTAATTGAGGTTCACTTGAACTATACGTCCTATATTCCCTTTAAACAAAACACTTATTTTTCTTTCTTCAAAGATTTAAAGTCGAAATTTGTGTTAAATAATTTTTTTTTCATTTCAGAAGTATGGAATATTAATTATGCATTATGCATGAGTAAATATTGTATAATGTATATTGTATGAATGCACCAGGCATGTTTAAGAGTTTAAGAAGAAATTTTGTTTAAATTATTCAACATTTAACTCTTTATTTGAAAATAATCCAATACGTGACTGTAATAAAAGAGAGTTTAGATACTTATACCGGTGTCATGTGTGGAGAGCCTACCCCTATTCTTTACACTATTTAAACACTGTATTTTGATTAAGCAAACACTTCAAAATTTATCTAAGAAATATTGATTGTTAGTCAGAAAGACGACATTTGTAAGGAAATAACCTTTTTAGTGTTCTTTCTCCTTCAAGAATACATTTTAGAATTAAATGTACATTTATATGTAAACTAATAATTTCCAATGTTTTAAAATTGTTTGTAATGTCTGAAATCAGGTTGAAATGGTTTTAACACATAGAGGGAGGCTCTCCAGTATCCATGCAATGCTTTCCACTCAGGACACCGGGATAAAATGCTTAACAGTTTATAGTGACATGATACTTCAGTTTGTAATAAAAAGAATGCTAAAAAGTTCAGCGAAAAACGAAATCAGAAAAACAAGTAGAGTGAGGTTCATAAAACAACATAAGACATTATTTCAGCAGTGTTGTTGCAAAAAATTAGAAGCAGCCAATAGCTTGAAAATCATCTTCTTTAGTGAAATGCTGTGTTTCATTTCCATTGGAATATTTCAAATCAGATCTTTAGTGTCTCAGAAGTCAGCCTATTTCACGGGGTTTTTTTTTTTAATTTTTAGGTAAAAACACCAATTGGTTTATGAAAAAATACAGCATCGCTTGAGTTTAAGTAAAACTTGCCAAATATATGGATTTTTGTAATGTTGAATGTGCATAATTTTTGAGATTTCAAAATAAGTGCTTTTTTATGATTGCAGTACAGGGTTACTCAAAAAGAATGATACTTGTATAGAGGTAACTGTGCGGAATTTATACTAATTTATAACTTGATTCTTTCTTGACTCAGCCATTAAATTAGCCTTTGGCCATATTTAAGGCAAAAGATTTAGTTTAACCATGGGATCGTCATATTTTAAGAGTTCCAGGTCGTCTTTTCATTCTCATCCTTTGTGGATAACCCTGTAGCTGAAGTGCTCATCATTGCCCGAAATACTGTGGTAATTTGCCTGTAGCTTCTGACTAATCTAAACACCAGTTTAATCAAAGGATTTAAAAACTAAACTTACCTGAGATATAAACAGATAGAAGGATGAATTCTCGTATCTCTGACCTACGTCCTATGCAGGGGGTAAGTTAAATATAAATAATGCAATGTGGGGGGGAGGGGGGTCGAATGCATTTTTTTATAACTTATAAACATTTTTTCCCCCGATTTTTTTAAAACAAATTTTTTGATCCATGTATTGAATGCAGATAATCATTTTTCCAATCTTGTTTTCTGGCTGTCCTGTTTTGCTGCGTTCAATTAGCTGCACCCCCCCCCCCCTCCCAGAATGGTTAATATACAGTTTCGATACCTGATTTTATAACTTATTAAACGGCTAAATTGTTAACATTAATACTGAAAGTTCAGCAACCAGAGAAAACTAGATTAAGTTTCAAAAACAATGCCTTTGGTTATTTTAAGGTTTAATAATTGATATCTTAATTCTGTAACCCTTAAAGGGACTGTACGCGTAATATCAAATGACAATGCACGATTCACAACGGTACTTATAAAAACTTTGTAGGATCAGGTATGAATTAGAAATCGATGTTATTAATTTAGAAAAATTATTAATTTAATATGTGGTTTTTCTATAATAGTGATTTCTGGTTTCTGTGCAATAGTGGTTTCTACTGCATGAAAATATAAAGGAATTATTTTAATTTAACACTTTGAAAACAACCATTTCCCCCTTATTATTGATCTGAAAAGGGTTTCAAGGCTACCATTGTGAATTAAGCATTTGATATTATGACAGTCCCTTCAGGTTTACTATTTCGTACTCTTTATAGTTGTATTTTAACCACGTTTAAAATTCTTATTATCTTAACCTGTTCTCCCCTTTTTCTAAAATATCAATAAAACATTTAATTGGATCGAATTAGTTATATAAAATCAACTCGCAATGAAATCCTGGATCCTACTCTCTTAGGGAGTAAGTGGAGTTTATGGAACGGATGGTATTTGTGCCGTCCTACTTCCTCTGTCTATTCTAGTTCCTGGAGTACGCTCAGATCTCAGGAAAACGGGATTTTAATTGTTTTTTAACCCCCCTACCCCCATCTAAAAATAAGAATAATATTTCACCTTTCTATTTGACCCGAGCCGCGGCTTAAAACTGCCAAAAACCGGTTTCAATTGAGCGCCGGCTTGAATCTTAAAAAATTTAATACAATTTTAAGTAGAATCAACCATATTTGAACAACGGCTTAAATTCCAGCCGCGGCTCAAATTCTTTAAATTCGGCCTCCGGATCAGGAATCCACTTTTTACTCTTAGCAATTCCTGAAGGATATGAATTCACTTGAATTCACTCCATCTGAAATTTACCTATTCTGTAAACCTCATGGTGAAATAAACAAAATAGTTATGATAGAAAGATACAGATAACAATCTTAGACAATACAGCACTTTTTCCTGATGAACCCGCTTGATTTTACAAAAATTCTTATGTAATGTTTACTATTTGAAAATTTATTAGTTTTTTGTGATAATGCATAATTTATCGTAAACATAACATAGTCACTAAATATTTAAATCTTTATGAATCCACTCTGAAAACAATGGATCTAGATCCGGCAAACCAAATTCACATGATATGTAAAAACTTCTAATATTTCACAGTAAAATTGATTTTTATCCATCTTTGCGACAAATTTAAATTTTTTAATCCCTATATTTTTGCAATTCTTGTTATATTTTAAACTTAGATTTTTTGGTCCAACAGAGTTCATAGATGCAAATATTATAAGGTCTACGACATTAGGTTACAAAGACAAAGGGATTAGAAAATCAGTGTTTGTGGCAAAAACTTAATTCGTTTGCGGTTTTTAGAAACATCTGTAATTTTGAGAACCTAATTTTGGTCTGTTTTCAAATTTAGTGCCTGGAATAAAAAAGTAGTTAATGTTTTCAAATTTAGTGCCTGGAAAATGTAGTTTATGTTTTCAAATTCAGTGCCTGGAAAATGTAGTTTATGTTTTCAAATTTAGTGGCTGGAAAATGTAGTTTATGTTTTCAAATTTAGTGCCTGGAAAATGTAGTTTATGTTGATTTAAAGTTAGTTTGAGTTTGAGGGAGGGGGGGAGGATTCCATTAGTCTTATCTGTAATAGAATCCTGGATAATATTCAGTATAATCAGCTTATCCTTATCCCTATCCTCTCTTCTTCTATACATTCTAGACTACAGGCCTACAGGTAGAAATAAATGTTAATGAGAATGTTGTTTTCAGTTGTACTATCCTTTCATTTAGTATCCTTTCATTTAGTATCCTTTCATTTAGTATCCTTTCATTTAGTATTCTTTCATTTAGTATCCTTTCATTTAGTATTCTTTCATTTAGTATCCTTTCATTTAGTATTCTTTCATTTAGTATTCTTTCATTTAGTATCCTTTCATCTAGTATCCTTTCATCTGGTATCCTTTCATTTAGTATCCTTTCATTTAGTATCCTTTCATTTAGTATCCTTTCATTTAGTATCCTTTCATTTAGTATCCTTTCATCTAGTATCTATGTGCATTTTACAGTATTACCTATTATACTTTTATCAATTCAATGATGTGGAAATCGTCTTTATTCTATAAATTTCCGCAATCGTTTCTGGAGCAGAAATCCGCAAATCACTTCTTAGAGAGACCACAATTAAAAACAATCATTTGTAATAAAAATAACAGTAGATATCTCATGCATTCTTTAACAGCTTGACACTTCAAAGGGTGTTGTGAATCGGACATGTCACTCTTTTTAAATTTGGAAATCATTTATGAAGTCCTAACCAACCTATTCCTTAATCCTCATCGTAACCAACCTACTCCTCATACTGAACAACCTATTTTTCATCCTAACCAACCTATTCCTCATCCTGACCAACCTAATTCGCAATCCTAATGCTACCAACCTATTTTTCATCATAACCACCCTATTTCAAATCCTAATCCACCTATTCCTCCTCCTAACGTCACCTCATTTTTTAAAAAGATAAAATATTTTGTTGCATTATAACTAAACGTTTTAACTATCTGTACTGTACAGTGTACAATAGTTCCATGTTTACTGTTCAGGACAGTGTGAAGTGCAATATTATGTTGAACATTTTTTATATTTTTTAAATTCTTGCTTTAATGATATTTTTTTAACATATTCAAGATTCATGTATTCTCTACAGATGATAAACTTTCAAATTAACTACTAAAATGTTTATGTTCATGTTTCGGAAAATCACACCAATCAAAGAGAATTTTTGAGGTGTCAAAGTAAGGTGACTAATGAAAGCAGAAGCGATTTTCCTAGGATTAAAAAAAGAAGAGTATCAAAGTATTTGATGATTGGCTACAACAAGTCAAGAACAAAAAGTTAATCTTAAGCAAAAAACTTATCAAAGTGATGTTTGACATCAAAAAAGATGATTTAAAAAATATTTAAATTTTTCATATTTTTCCAATGTTCTTAAAAATTAAAAAAAAAGGGGGAAAAATGTTCTTAAAAATCTTAATTTTGAAAAATTTTCTTAATTTTGTTCTTAATTTTTGGCAAAATTTTTTAGAAAATTCTCAAATTTAATAACAGCTTTGCTTTCTTAATTTTTTGGAGGGCAGGTGGCAACTATGAAACAACCTATAACACATGCTACCAACCTATTCTTCATCCTAATCAACCTATTTCCTATTAGGTAGTTCTGCTGCATTCTCCTTACTAAGTTTCCTCCCAGCCTGGCTCTGCATAGTTCTACTTCCTGATCTTCAAACAGATTCAAGATTCAGGTCTTTCAAAACAAATTCAATATTTTTAATAATATTTTTGATAATTGTAACAATTTCAATGTTTGTAACAAACAATCGTTTTAATGTTTTAAATGTTTTTGTAACAATATTGATATATTTAGCCATTTTTTTATACTTTAAAATTTTTTACTTTTACTTGTTATGTTTTTAATAATCTTTAAACATTTGTTTCATTTTTTAACATTTTAGCTTTTTTCTTCAACATTCTCTCTTGTAACATTTCGTTCAATATGTCTCATCCAATGTGAAAGATCGTTCTATTTGATAAAATGTTAGAAATTGCTCTCAATAAGATAATAATATTTAGGTTGTATTTATGTTTCTGGACTGTTCTAGTTTACAGGCCTGTGTTCAACAATATTGTCTCTAGGTTTAAGAAAAGGCAGGAAACAGATTTTTCATAATTAAAGCAATGTTAAAACTTTTTTGTTGATGATAGTTTTCTAAAATATGGAGAGACATATTTATTTACAGATCTTTAGTTTCTTCAGGACACCATGTTGTATTCTATAACATCATGTTGTATTCTAGAACACCATGTTGTATTCTAGAACAATATGTTGTAATAAAGAACACGATGTATGTATAACTAATTCCCTGTACTAAATGAGTGTGTACGAATGAAAAGATATATTGTATGTATGTAGAAGAACATGATGANGACACCATGTTGTATTCTAGGACACCATGTTGTATTCTAGGACACCATGTTGTATTCTAGAACACCATGTTGTATTCTATGACAATATGTTGTAATAAAGAACACGATGTATGTATAACTAATTCCCTGTACTAAATGAGTGTGTACGAATGAAAAGATATATTGTATGTATGTAGAAGAACATGATGAGAATAATAAATCAGGAGGTAGGGAGCTCATGGGATAAGATAGATGAGGTTATTTTATGTGTTATATATAAGTAAATATTTAATGGAATATATACATAATCTAATATATATATAGGTTTACTTATAAAGCGTAATACTTTAAAGACGACCTGAGAATGTTAAAAATCTGAGATTTGAAGCATAAAACTAATTGTTATGCACCATTATAAGTGACAAGTCTGTTTGTACAGTTTTACGTTTGGTGAGGCATGCATTGTAGTGCAAGGAGGAATATTAGCCGCTTACACGTTCATTAACAGGTAAGCTTATATGTACAACATACACAATTTACACTGTACAGTGTACACTGTACACGCTTTCATTTTTATGCAAACATGCTTTTAAAGCAAAAATTTTACATTTCTAGGTTCATATAAATTGTACATGCACAATGCACAATAACAACTGTACAGTGTACACACAAATGTACTGGTATTCACTATCTAGGTTGTACATGCAGGGTGTGTTCCGAAGAATAGAATTGGCTAAACAGGTAACAAGTAATGCAAGTTTGAGAAGTATACCAGTCTTTTTATTGAGTTCAGAATTTAAATTTGATTTTAGAAAATTTTAGCTTGTGTTTACTTAAAAATAATGTCAATGAAATTATTTGCTCAACAGATTCTAACTGTTTTCCTTCCCTAGGTTGTAAAATGGATAGATTGGTTTATAGATCATTACTCTACACCTTCCTCAATCCTCCTAATCTCCAGGTATAGATCATTACTCTACACCTTCCTCAATCCTCCTAATCTCCAGGTATAGATCATTACTCTACACCTTCCTCAATCCTTCTCATATCCAGGTATAGATCATTACTCTACACCTTCCTCAATCCTTCTTATCTCCAGGTATATATAGATCCCTTCCTCAATCCTCCTCAATTAATGTAAAACAAAAATAATGATAAGATGAATGTAAATCACGTTTTTAGTTGGATAGTGCTAGGTGTACTGTCGGTTTGTGTTGTTGTTGTTTACAAACACAAGGGTTGGCCTGTACACTCTAGAACAAGGAATCAATTTAAAAAATTTAGAATTTCAGTAGAACCCATAAAACTGTAGAATAGGAAGACGACTGTTGGACCCAAGTAAAGGTTTAAAATAACAAAACTAAGAAATTCTACAGTATACAGGGAACCATTTTACTTAAAGGCCAAATGTAATACTATTAACTTTATAACAATATCAAATATCAAAGATCTATTCCACTCATGTACAATGTCTCATTGTACAAGAACTAGGATATCAAAAGTCGATTTCTATGTTATAATTAAAATACGTGGATTTATAATTGATGAACTGATCAGGAAACTGTTTCATCTTGCGGTCATTCTTGTATATGTACCAGGTACAGTGTAGGAAGGGTGGGGGGCAGCATTTTGCAGCATGCAGAGGGGGGCGGATGATGCCAATGTTTTTTAGAGTTAATTGGCAAACACAAAAATGGGATTTTAGAAAGCATTGGAATTAGATAGATTTTATAAAATTGCAAATATCGTAGAAATTCCTTTTGTAAAACGGCATGTCCGATTTACTTGGGTACCCTTTAAACCATCTCAGTGAACACTTGAGTGTACTGGCATTAAATTTTTCCGCCTTAAAAATAATCTTATTTGTTAGAAATAGATGAAAGGGTACTGTTTTGAATAAGATATGTTACTCAACAGCTGGAGGACAACTTGAAATAACGGAAACAGTCTCTTTAATCGATTTATTTTTCCATGAGCGCATAGCTAACAATTGTTATAATGTAAAATTGTAATATAAACTTCAAAGGAAAATGTTAAATTGAAAAATCTATTCTGAAAAGATTAAATGTGCTAATTATGATAAAATTGATCAAATCATGATTATAAATTGATTAAATTAGACAAATTATCTAGGTATATATTTCAGCTCGTATATCAGAAAATTACGGTATTATATTTTCGTAAAAGATATTTTATAAAAGATTAATTAAAAATTGTAGGATTGATTGTTAACCCTGATCTACTGTATATCGCTAGTCTAGGGGCTACAACACTATTTATTAGTTTAGAAGCTCTAAGGTTAGAATTTATCAGTTTTAAATCAATCATTGTAATTTTATATTCTTTTGTTTAATAATTTATGGTGGAAACAATTTTAAGCAGAAACATGGATTAGAAATGACATTTTCTTTTATATAATTTTTGTGTGGAAATTAGACTGTTGACTACTGAACTGATCTTAATTCTTGATAAAATTACTTCAACCGCTTTTCCGAGATATGAAGAACCATTTCTTGTTTAGGTACAGTGGAAAGCTGCCTAGGCTGACCCGTCCGCTCACAGCTCACCTGGAACACTTTGCAGACAACAAAGAGGGTAAAACTTGATATGATTAACATTTAAGAAAAATAAAGATCTTTTATCCTTTGGTTTAATAAAGGATTAAAGAGAAACCTGAGATTCTCAGGCTCTTGTGGGATATCGTCGTTTTCAGATTGTTTGCGTATTTGCTGATTATGATCTGTTTAAACCTATTACTTTTATACAAAATTGTATTTTTATGTTCTCAAGTTCCCATTTATTAAGAAAAATTACCCTGATAAAGAATTCGGAGGAAAGTTTTGAGGAAAAGTCCAATGGAATAGTAGTATTCTATAAAGAAGTACCAAATTATGGTTTACCGTTTTCAGGAGTCCTTTCTGTCGGGGTAGGAGACGCAATGAGTAGTGTGGTTGGAACTGCTGTAGGTAGGACCCGGATATTTTCTACCCATAAAACCCTGGAAGGAACCGCGGCCGGTTTCCTATCTCAGCTAGGGTTCGGATACCTGCTCAGCTCCCTCTGTGGTCTGGAGATACCGGAGCCAGGGTTTGCTACGGTTTGTCTTGTTACTGCAGGGTTTGAACTGTTAGTGGAGCAGGTTGATAATCTTACTCTCCCTCTCATCATGTACATAGGACTGTATATAATAAGTACATAAGTTTGTAAAGAATTTACACTATCCACTAATTAAATTGTAAAATGTACATAGGATTGTAATTTACTTTGTACACGATCAATACAATAACTCTTTTTCATCATGTACACCTAAGACTTCCAACGATCATAAAAATTTCGATTATGTACATTGTATAGTAATATTTGCATTTAAAAAGTAAATTATTTAAAGATGAATCATCCCTGCTAGAAACTTAAGTTAATTTTTTAATATCACAAGGATTATAAGGTCTGGATCTCGAAAGAGTTACTGTCGCCTGATACTGTTTAATCTTCGTTACTCATTCTTTTTAAATATCTACATGTTTTTTTCATTGTCAAATATCATTTAAAATAAATTATTTATTAAGTTTGATTTATTTTTGTAAATACAAAAATAATGAATATATCATTCAGTTTAGAATTTAGTCAAGTTTCATCCTTGAGTGTCTTTAATATCTTTTTGTGTAAATGTAATTAAAAGTTATTTTATATCTGTTGTAGCATTCATTTTCTGTTCTGCATTTTCTTTTTTCGGATTTATTGCTCAGGATAGGGGCTTAATTCTACATAAATATGAAATATTAATATACAGATATTATGTAAATAATTTACTGCATGGACTGCAAAGTGGCTTTATTAAGATATGTTCCATTTTAGAATGAGTATTGTAATACAATAAGAACCAAAAGACTATTGAAAAGAAAGACGACTTCTTTACCCAAGTTATGACTAATTGTGCAATGAACATGAAACACGGCCATTGTGTAGTGCAACTGCAATCAGGCACATTTCACTGGATAAAGGATTTCATAACTTGCAAGAGTAAATATTTGCTTCGCCACTACATCAAAAATTATTTCTAAAATGTCTTCCTATTTCACAGTTTTTTGTATCTCGCTGTACCAAACAGTAATTTATAAAAGCAAAGGTCTGATCCAGAGATAAGAGAGTTACAGAGATCGATTATCAGCTAAACTATGCGATATTTTCCACAGCATGTTCTATTATGTACAAGTACTGTACACGACCAATCAGCAAACATCTGTTTTCAGGGATATTTAAGGATCCTTTGTATACGAAAATAAAATCTTCAAAGTAAGACTGAATTCATCAATGTAATGTTTCATGTTTAAAATTGGAGTATTTATTTAAAAGTTGTAAAACAACCACTGAATTAGTATTCTGTTCAACAAGTGGCCGTGAGATGGCACTCTAAAAACCTATCGTAAAAACGTAGTATGTTGTACGTAGCCCATCCTGTGAAAGGAGTTAAGCAGTCTGTGTAGTCTGTGGTCTGATCTATGTGGTATACTTACAATGTTATACAGGGTGTCCCAATAAACATGTGAATTCAGTGACGAATTCGATATCGTCTTTTCAAATAATTCTTTGATTTAGTATGGTGATACCCAGGGGCGTACGAGGGCTTTTGTTTAGGGGGGGGGGCACAAAAAAATTTTTTTGGTTCCTTCCCTTTGGCAACATTGGTCCCCCCCTTAAAAACCCCTTTTTTGAAAAAATATTAATACCTTTTTTAAATTTTTTTTGCCCCCCCTCTCCCACCTGGACTTATTTTGTTCACCATAAAAATACACCAAAAAGACTACTTTTTTGGGTGCTGCTAACCTTAGAGTCTAGAAAATTATTCCTTTGCTTGAAAAACTAACTTTTTGACTTTATAAATTTATCACTTAACTCCATCACAGCTAACTAAATCAATAATCACAGCATCATTAAAAATTATATTTTTACGAATAAACGAAATTTCTTCTGAAATTTTTAGATAGAATTTACTCAATCTACATTTTAACCAAATCTTTTAAGCTACAATTTTCTGGGATTTGCTTGCACAAACATTTCAATGATTTTTTTCAGTAGAGAGCTCAGACAGCCTTATAGGGTGTAAAGCTATAAGTGCAAGATCGTTAAGTCTGCTCTCCGTCATTGTACATCTTGTGTAAAGAAGTATTCTCTTTAGAAGGCTTAAACTTTTCTCTCCAATTGTATTAACAGTGAATTTAGACAAATCCTTAGTCTTTATCATTGTCAGGTGTTACTTTCTAAACGTAGTTTCCTTTTAATTTTGTATTTTTGGAACTCCCAGGGGGGGCAAGAGAACTACTGCCCCCCCTAGGTACACCACTGTGCCTGACCTGAGGAAGGGAAATGCAAGCAGATGTAATATTAAAAGAGCCTCCCCCATGGATGCCCCCCCCCCTCAGCCTCTCAGGGGGGGCACGCGTAGAGGGGGGCGCGGCCCCCCCTCGTACGCCCCTGGTTATACCTACTAAGAAAGCTGTAATCTGTGAGAGTTTCGTCTGCTATGTTTACATTTTGTTTGTTTATGTTTTGACTGCATAAGCTGTTGTACTTAGTAAAACAAGAAAATTACAGTATACAAACAGAGTAAACTTGTCCGTCTTTACTGTTCATCTTGCGGAGACATTATAGACACATTTTTACAGTCGTTTACCCTTTTCATAAAATAAACTCTAGCAGACATAATAAAATTATGACTTTTGAAATAAGGTATTACAATGCTAATTCATAACAAAGAGGATATCAAATTCGTCACTGAATTCCCATGTTTTTGGGACAGCCTTTATTAAAGGACCCTAAATGCAAAGATGTCAAAGCCTGATTCACGATGGTATCCTAAAGAAGTCGTCATCTAATCGATAATAATGTGAAATGCATTATTTGGGTTTTAATGTTTTTAAAGGGACTGTGCGTCAATTTAATGCAAAGATGGTGATGCAGGATCCAGAATTGAATCCTTTAAGGCCTTTATCTGATCAATTGTGTGAAAGATATTGTCGTTTTTCTTGGTTTAATAGTATTTAATTCAAATAATTTCTATATATTTCCCTGCAGTAGAAATGCGCAAGTCACTTCTGTAGAGAACCCTTATTGAAAATAATCAGTTAACAAATGATAAACATGAAATCGAATTAATTCTTGATCAGGTAGAGCTGTTAAGTGAAGAAGCAAAAAATTTAGTTACAGCTTGCTGAGACAAGGACCGAACCGTTAAATCAGCGTATACCATGTATGCACCTTTAGGGGGGTTGTAGCGTTTTTCTTGAAGCGTTAGCGGCATTTGTTCCTTTATAAATAACAAGGCTTTCATGGCGCTTTGATTTTAACTTTTAATTGTTGCTTGTGGATATAGACAAATCAAAATTTTGTTAGGCATTTTTTAAAATTCTGATCATCCATAATTCTTCCCTGGGGTCATGTGAGGTCCCGCAAAAAATGTGGGCCAAATCGGTTCAGCTGTTTTGACGTTTATTGGATACAAAGATACAACTGCAGCCAGACAAACAAAATATATATATATATTTATTCATTAAACTTTACTAGACGCCATCTGGGGTTATACTTCTGATATCTGGGTGTTTTACGTCACTCAAATATTCTTCAAGAGTTTTGCAAATCCAGAAAGTAAATAAAGGAATGGACTTATTGCCCTTAAATCCTCTGTAATATTAAGTTTGGTGCGAAAGAGGGTAGTTTGTAGACTATTGAGGAAAAAGAGAGATAAAGTTTCATATTAAAAATGGAAAATGGCTTCAACTAACAAAGTAAAACCGTGTTTTATATAAAATTCTTGAGTTATACCAAATTGGACTCCACAGTGGTCACTACAAGACCAGGAATATTCCTTGCACTCCACAGTGGTCACTACTAGACCAGGAATATAACTTGTACTCCACAGTGGTCACTACTAGACCAGGAATATACCTTGCACTCCACAGTGGTCACTACGAGACCAGGAATATACCTTGCACTCCACAGTGGTCACTACTAGACCAGGAATATACCTTGCACTCCACAGTGGTCACTACTAGACCAGGAATATACCTTGTACTCCACAGTGGTCACTACTAGACCAGGAATATACCTTGTACTCCACAGTGGTATACA